TTATCAGGAGTTTGTACAATAGGAGTTTATTTTATCAGGAGTTTGTACAATAGGAGTTTATTTTATCAGGAGTTTGTACATTCCATAGGAGTTTATCTTATCAGGAGTTTGTACAATAGGAGTTTATTTTATCAGGAGTTTGTACAATAGGAGTTTATTCTATCAGGAGTTTGTACGATAGGAGTTTATTTTATCAGGAGTTTGTACAATAGGAGTTTATTTTATCAGGAGTTTGTACAATAGGAGTTTATTCTATCAGGAGTTTGTACAATAGGAGTTTATTTTATCAGGAGTTTGTACAATAGGAGTTTATTTTATCAGGAGTTTGTACAAAAGGAGTTTATTTTATCAGGAGTTTGTACATTCCAAATTTTGTCTTTTTTCCATTTAAAAAAGTTTGCTTTTCCCCAGATTGTATTCTAGGTAATTGTTTATTCTTCTTTTAGAAGATTTGGCATGAGAACCACCTTGATTCTTGAGAAAATAAATTGGAAAGCAAAATAGGAAATAGACCTGAGCAGGAAATCCCCAGTATCTCTTAATCTCCTAAAATATATATTTTTTAAATTCACTAAATGTGAAATTCTAGATTTTCTTTAAACCTATTTTTAAAAACATTTGTATTTGAAACCTCCGCTGATTAATATAATATTGTATAACCATCTATACCAAATAGATTATCAATTACAATAGCTGGCATTAGTGAAATGGAACAATATTACATGACGCCAGAAGTGTCAAATATTTTTTCACATTATTTGATTTGTTTTTCCAAGATTAAATAAAACTTAAGAAACTTAAGAACACATAAAATTTCACTTATTTTACTGCAAAATAAGCACTTTATTCTAAAATTGATAACCATTATTAATAATTTTGTCGAACACAAAAACGGAATTGACACTTGTGACGTCAGAATACAGCTGTACTGAGAGAGTGCAAATTCTACGTTGCCATCTATTGTAAAAGAATTTATTTGATACATATACTTTGCTTGTCTGTTTCTTTGAATCCAATAATCGTCAAAACAGCTGCATGAACCTATTCAACTTTTGGGCACAAAATAATTAAGTCTTTGCCACACACTCGCATTTCTTAATCCTTTTGTCTTTGCAACCTGATCGTGTAAACCTTTGATAATTCAAACTTAGATTATCTAATCTAACAGAATTCATAGTTTGAAATATCTAAGATCTTCTATATTTGGTTTCAAAGATTTAGGACTTTAAAAAGGATGAATAGGATGGTCAGACTTTCAAAAAGTTGTCTCAAAAATTTTGATTTTTGTGAAATTTTGAAATCCGCGAAAAGGTATTAGTAAATCTACAAACTCTTTTTTGGTATTGTTTTAAACTGTACAAAGAGAAAAGGCTTTCTCAGGGTTGTTAATCGTTTTAAGAAACGATCGAAAAAACAATAGTTTTTCGTTTTTTCTAATAAAAGATTAAACCCTATAGAAAAGACATAAATAAATTGAACTGAACATTTTTGTTGAAGATGAACATATTTCCTTTGATATTTCTCATTTTAGAAAACTTGCAGAAAATAAAATAGATTACAATTTAAAATCAATCAGTGACACACTGCTGAAAAGGGTTATCTTTTCTTTTCATCAGGCATAGTACCTTTTAGCCTTTTCCCACCACCGTCACTAACCCCCCAACCCCGGCAAAATCCTAAACCCCCCCCTTCCCACTCCCTTTTTACCTGACACAAAGAAAAAGAAGGAAGGATTCAACTAGTAGAATTAGATGAAGGAATGTAGTTGGAAATATCATTTTACCAAATTAAAGGAACTGTTTACGAAAAATTAGAAGTGAAACGAGATCTAAATTATACATAATGTCATAATTGAACTATGAATTGATTTGAATATACTTTTATTTCTATCCGATGTTTCTGTTCCCTAGAAAACCGGTAAATAATATGGAAAAGCTTTTCCCCCCTATCCCTTTACTGCAGTGCTGAGCAGCTTTTTTTCTCTCCAAAGGTCAACACTTTTAAGTGAAGTTTCGTTAATCTTGAACGCTTTAACTTTATTAAATGTGGTCAGGGGCGTACGAGAACTTTTGTTTAGAAAAAAAAAATGTTTGGTCCCCCCCTTAAAAACCCCTTTTTTGAAAAAATATTAATACCTTTTTTAAATTTTTTTTGCCCCACCTACCACCTGGACTTGTTTTGTTCACCATAAAAATACACCAAAAAGACTACTTTTTTGGGTGTTACTAACCTTAGAGTCTAAAATTATTCCTTTGCTTGAAAAACTAACTTTTTGACTTTATAAATGTATCACTTAACTCCATCACAGCTAACTAAATCAATAATCACAGCATCATTAAAAATTATATTTTTACTAATAAACGAAAATTCTTCTGAAATTTTTAGATAGAATTTACTCAATCTACAAATTCACCAACTCTTTTAAGCTACAATTTTCTGGGATTTGCATGCACAAACATTTCAATGATTTTTTTCAGTAAAGAGCTCAGACAGCCTTATAAGGTGTAAAGCTATAAGTGCAAGATCGTTAAGTCTGCTCTCCGTCATAGTACATCTTGTGTAATGAAGAAATTCTCTTTAGAAGGCTAAAACTTTTATCTCCTTGTATTAACAGTGAATCTAGACAAATCCTTAGTCTATGTCATTGTCAGGTGTTACTTTCTAAACGTAGTTTCCTTTTAATTTTGTATTTTTGGAACTCCCAGGGGGGGCAAGAGGACTACTGCCCCCCTAGATACACCACTGTGCCTGACCTGAGGAAGGGAAATGCAAGCAGATGTAATATTAAAAGAGCCACCCCCATGGATGCCCCCCCTCGCACGCCCCTGAATGTGGTTACTTTTAATTTTAAGGATTAATGCTTGATCTCTTCATTTTACAGTTATCCTTTGAGCTAATGACCCCACATATTTAAGCGAAACTAAATGAATCCGTGATCTGCATGAATATGAAGATCAGTACTTGATCTCCGAGTTTCCCAACACAAAACTTCTGACTTCTGGTGAGGTTAATGGATAGTTATTCTTTCAGAAGAAACATCGGATAATCAAAGTACAAACAAATAATTGATAATTATATCAGTGTGTTCAGCTAACTATCTTGTAAACTAAATTCTCCAGCTTAATTATTAATTCAACAGGTGTAAATATATTAAACACCTCTTGTAGTGTAGCATTCCTTGTTTAACTCATGAAAATTTTCATAATTTAACACCTGAATGTTATAAATTCATGCTTACATTTAAACCATGATTATACAGGGTTACCGTTAAAGGATGAGACTTAAGGGACGACTTACTGAATGTACTGTCTATTTCCTTCACTTCATGATTACATACATTTTAAAACTTCGAGGCAAGAAGAGTGTACCAATGATTGGAGACTTTAAATCAGGATAAGTGCAGTATCAAGTCCAAAATCAACGAGAGTCTTATATTAATAATTAGAAATAATGAAAACATTGTTTTAGGGGCAACAATTGTTAAAAACAAAGTTAAAACAAAGAGAAGCGCATTCAGTATTTATATTGTTTGGTTTTCTCATTTTCGTACAATGTTTCTCACCTTTCAGATACATATGTTCTTCTGAATACTTTATATACCTCGACTTTGTATGTTTCATTCCTTTACTTGTTTTTATTAACTTTCTACTGGCGCGGAAGAAGGAGGGGGGGGGGGGTTGTTTTTTCGTTTACTTTCTTTTATTTTTGTCTTTCTTTTATCAACTTTCTACCGGGGTGAAGGGGGGGGTGGAGAAGGAATGTTTATTTTTGGGTGGTGTGGGGCTGGGGAGCCGTCTGGGGATCCTTTTCCCTTTTTCTTTCTCATTTCTTTTTCCCTCCCCTTTCCAGTTTCCAGTTTTTCTTTCTCTTTCCCTTCCCTATTCCTCTTTTCTATTCCCATCCTATCTCCTTTGTCTTTTCCTCCCCCTTTCCCTTATCGCTACTCCCATTCCTCTTTCATATCCCGTTCCCTTCCACATTCCTCTTTCCTACCCTTTTCTTTCCCTTCCCCTTTCTCTTTTTATACTTTCCTTCCTGTTTTCATTTGCTCTGGACCCTTTACTTTGAGTTTTCCCTTTCTCTGTCCACTTTCCCTTCCCTTTTCTCATCCCTTTTCTCGATCTTTCCCTTCCCTTGTCCTTAACCTTCCTCTTCATCCTTTCCAATCCCCGTTCTATTCCCTTTCCCCTCCCCCCTTTTCCCCTCTTCTTTCCACTTTTCCTTTTTCCTCCCCTTTCCTCTATCCCTTCCCCTTTCTCTTTCCCATTCATTACCCATTCCCTTTGCTCTATATATCCCTTTCCCCTTATCCCTTGTCATGATTAGATCCATAATTAGATTTATACTAAAACTTTAAACATTTCTTAAGCCGAAAGAAAGATATTTAAAGAAATATTTCTGGAGTAAACTTAGTTTGTTTTATTGTAATTTTTGATTTAAACAATACCTTTTTTTGAAAAATGTTAAGATTTAAATGTGTGATACAAATTTTCTAGATTTAGTTTAAACTGCATAAAAAGGATTGCCTAAATCAAAGATTAAAAAAGATAAATGAAATTCAATTCAAATTATTTACTCTATACCAAGTAACAAAAGTGAGGAATTTCCCCCGATTCTCCAACCGTGGTGACTTTTTTTTGAAGAATTTGAGAGGAATTTCTCGAAAATCATTTCCTGTAACTGATTCCTCGGAAATTCTCAAGAAATTTCTCAGAATTTGTCCCAAAGATGAGAGATTTTTGTGGGATCACAGTTTTGAGACTCAGTTTCGAGAAATTCCAGAGATATTCACAGGAAATTTTCCCCACAAAATTCCTCAGAATTTCTCCGGAATACTTCTCCGAAAAATTCCTGAGAAATTCTTAGGACTTGGTCACCATGTTTATGGATTTTTAGGGGAATTTATTAAGAGAATTAGTTTTGAGAAATTCCTGGGAATTTCTCTGGAATTTCACCCCAAGAAAATCCTGAGAATTTCTCCTGATTACTTCTCTGAAAATTCCTGAGAAATTCTTAGGACTTGGTCACCATGTTTACAGATTTTGAGGGAAATTCCTGAGAAATCCTTAGGACTTGGTCTGGAATTTTTCTCAAGAAATTCCTAAGAATTTCTCAGGAATATTTCTCCGGAAATTCCTGAGAAATTCTCAGGACTTTTCACAGAGTTTTCAAGTTCCGTTTTTCTCCAATAGGTGTCTCTCAGGTTCTCTTCTATTATGCACTGCCCTAACTAAATCTTTTTTTCTTTGCATCCTTATTGATAAAAAATGCTAATTTACTTTATAACCATCTTTTTAAAAAATAGTTTTTTTCATTTTTTTCATTTTTTTTATTTTTTCTTGACAATTCAGTTGTCTGAATAAACAAAATACACGGCAACTTCAGTAAGATCAAAAACGAGTATAACATTCTGACTTAAGAAGATGGTTATATACTTCTAAACAGTTGGAGGGGCAATATAGTTGTTTAGTTATTCACTACTATTGGGCATTAGTCCTGGTTAGTGAATTTACTCAGGAATATGCTGAGAATATTTCAAGATATTCCTGAGGAACTCTTGAAAAAATCTTGGGAATGGTTCCCAGGAAATTCCCAGGAATGGGGTTTGAAGAACTTTTCGCTGGAAATTCCGAAGAATTTCCACAAATTTTGTCGACATTTTCTGCAGAATTGGTAACAAGAAATTCCCTGGAGAAATTCCTTGAATAGAGTTATGAGAATTTTCCTCGGAATAAATACTTCTCATCTTGAGAAACCCCTTATGCCACAATGTTGAACAATTTATTAAAAATCTTTTATATTTAAACTTAAAACACAAGTTTAAAAAACCTCCTGCATTACACAGGCACATTTTGTTGTATTGTGCATGCTCATGCTGAGGCTAGCAAATCTGGGAGGCTCATGTCTAAATAGCGGAGACTCGAGGCGTCCCGGGGTTCCCTCCCTTGTGGACTTAATACTTCATGATATTTACTAGTGGGTGGGATATGAGACTAATTTTTCAAAATTGTATGTGCTTTCTATGCATTTAATTAGTTTTGTTAGATGTTGAACTCAAGTAGGCGAATACAAAAATTTAAACACTGTATGGTTTTTTGAAAATATCTCTAACGAAGATAGATTTTACTTGGGTGGGATGAGATAATTTTTAAGAAATGTTACGCTTTTTTAGTCTAATTACCAATTGAGGTGGTTTCTGGTGGAGATTTCGATACAAATTGTGGAGCGCGCATGCCGCAAAACACGTTTGGGTGGCTATGATTGCTCATTGAGGACTTCTGCACTCCCCCCCTCCCTCATTCAAAAAGTCAGGCATGGTTCCTAACTTGGCGGAGGGGGGGATAGATAAAACTCCTAAGAATGCGCGAATACCGGATAATTTTTCTTATATTCTCTCTCTCTATGACAGCTTGCCATGACAGCTTGTTTCTATAGATAGTACGGGTTAAGGATGGATGTTGAAAAGGATGGAAACGAATGTTATTAATTTGATATAAGGGCCGAGCGCCGCGGCTAGGACAGGCTAGGGGGCCGGCGCTGCGGCCAAATAATCAATTTAGGAGTTTTATCTATCCCCCCCTCCGCCAAGCTACGCACCACGCCTAAACGGGCACGGCAGTAGTTCAAACTAAATAGCACCTTTCCCCGACCCCCATGATGTTGAAATTACCCCGAAGCAAGTTCTTTAAAATACTTTTCAGCACCTCCCCCCCTTTCCCTTCCTAACCTGATTTACACACAATTCAGCGGCATTGTTTTACTCTGCTGCGCATATACGTATAGAGAAACGTGCGACATTCGCAAATTTTTTGAGTTTTCAAGGATTTTTGAGACCCCCAATCATTCTGGAGTCCCAAGGCGAATCCCCGAAAGGGGTTTATGTAAGTACTTTCATTCTTTATACATACATATATCTGTTGACAGTGAAAATTAAACGTAAAGCCGCGGTTTAAAATTATTTCAGTTTGTGTCGCCATTTCCGGTAACTGAGTTAAAAGTTTTCAGTCTTTCAATATCCGTTTTATCATCCTGATTGTCTCAAACAGTCAGCTGTTTCGACAAAAACAAAAACAAATGATTCCAGTCGAAACTATGAATAAAGTTTAAACTAATTTTGCTTTATCCTAAATTTTAATTCGGACGATTTCGCGAGCGACCGCGGTCTACGCCATCAGTTCACAATAATAAGGATTAATACTTATGTACCTTCGTAAATCTCATATTTTTGTAGAATTGTAGTCAATTATTTATATATTATCGAATGTTCTCAAACATTTTTAACAGGTTTATTTTGTTTGATGTGCGCCCATCTAAGGTAGAAATCCTTTTAAATTGTTAATCCATATTGTTTTTCTCAAAATGCACAAATTAATTACAATCATACTACTAACAAAATAACCATTCCGATTAAGTGACAATATATATTCGATAAGCACACAACGCATATATTGCATGGACGCTGTATAGTAAAATAAATTACTTTTTAAAATTTTAAATCTTGCTTACGATGAAAAGACGTGTGCGGGTAAATGAAGAAGGAGATGATACCAAAAATCGTATACTAGGAATATACCATTAATTATGGATTTAATTATAAATACGTTCAACGCAATGCTGGTGTCGTATCGTTTGCACTAATGATTGATCGGACTAACGTACATTCGGACTAACGTTTTATTTGAGGGTTAGGTTACGCTAAGACAATTTCTGGGCCGAGCACCGCGGCTAGGACAGGCTAGGGGGCCGGGCGCTGCGGCTTCGAGTGTTACTGATCAGCTGACTTTAGTGCAAAAGTACGTTAGTTCAATTGGACATAAGTGCAAACGATATAGCATGGCAACGAATCTTAGAATAGATCTTCAAACCTGAAATACGCATTATGTTGCGAGGACCGAACCGTTTTTTTGTCTATCAAGGAAGTTTAATTCTTATTTCTTCACTGAACTATCGAACGACCATACGTTATAGAACGATTGAACCAAATTAGCATAGCGCAACTATACTTCCCTAGTCTCATGCAATTATCTTATTGTAGACCGCAAAGCTATTATCAAAGCGTAATCGTTTTTCTTAAACTAGGTTTCATCTCATATTTTGCTCGAAATGCCCTTTGCTAAAAGCAAAACAAAGAAATAAATTGCAAGAATCCGACGATTGCAGAAAAATGGGTGAAACAGCTGCTCCAGTGGCCACGGCCAACGACCTCCCACTTCCGGTTGGACCCCAGCCAGGAGTTCACTATCCAATTAAGGAAACATACCCTCATTAAAAGATGTCCACATTTTATGACAAAAAATTTTTGGTTACCACTTCCTCAAAAAAACATTTAACCAGCTTTTTTGAGGGTTATGATGTAGAAGAATGAGCTTTGTGGGGAAAGGTTTGAGACAACGGGGATGGATGGGGGGGGGGGTGGTTACAAAAAAATAATTAAGAATAAAACACAGAACTTCTTCACACCTAGAAAAGAGCAAAGTTAAACATTTTATTAAAACCTTTTACTATTTATTATGGTTTAAAATAGGAAATAGTTTTTCTTCTTTCATTAATTTTGAATAATTTCTCAAAGAAAAAATCATATGTAGATTAAGATGGTTGTATGTTAAGACTGAGTACTGTGGAAACTGTTCAATGCCATTTGAATTCTGTGAAAATTACCCCGACTACGAGGGGTGCAAGGACTGGTTGTCCAAGAATCTCCCGGATCAGTTTAAACAGCTGAGTGTCGCAACTGCCGAAGGCGAATCTGACGCGGAGGAGAAAAAGCGTCAAAAGCGCGGCGGGAAAGGGATGGTTAAACCTAAGAAGAAAGAGGCAGAGCAAGACAAGAAAATAATCCTCTCCATGGCTCCCCGGGGCAAAAAGAAGGCAGTGACTGTTGTCCAAGGTATGAGAACCTTCGGAATAGACTTGAAGGTTGCGTCAAAGTTTTTCTCGTCAAAGTTTGCCTGCAGCTCGTCGGTGACAGGGGACGATGAGATAGTGATCCAAGGAGACGTGAAGGATGAATTGTTTGATATACTGCCGGAGAAATGGCCGGAGATTGATGAGGATCTGATCGATGATATCGGAGAAAGAAAACGTTCATAGTAGAAATGTATCTTAAATCAATGAAAAACGTTTAATTTTCACTGTCAATTTTTTCTGAATCGTTTTGTAACTAATGATTTAATAGTTTTTATGGTTTTTCAGATTCAAGTTCCTGTTTTCGGGGAAACGTACACGGGTCACATTAGATCTTTTCCGCTAGATGAAACCCAGGTAAATTTTTAAGCTCTATAATCACCAAATTCAAATCAAACAAACTATTATTTTAGAAAAATGTTTTTATTGACCTGAGAAATGCTTATGTTAATTTTATTTGAAAGAAACTTTATCTTTCAAGTTTAGACATATTGGCCTAAAATTTAGTTTCAGGAACTTGGGTAAACCACGGGAATGTTCTTAGTTTGGTTTTAAAATTCTAAGTTGAGTGGGTGGGCACATGGAAACCTACAGACAACGCTGGGTTCCTTCACTAGTTTCCGTGAAAACAACTCCAAATGGTTTTGGACATGACAGAATTTATTTATTTGCACATTTCAAATCCTTAAATCTAGGAAGTTGCAGCAAAACAAATTAGGAAATCTTGGATTTAGAAAATAATATCATTTATTTTTATAAAACAGACGGTTTTAGTTAAATTAACAAACAAATAAGGTTTTCTTATATTTTGTTAACTCGGAGATAGTAACAAATGAATGAGAGGTCATCTATTGTTCAAGGTTCTGTGCATTTTGCAACCAAAACAAATTATCTTGAAATCTGATACTTTTGTTGGTCCAATCCCTCGCAGATCTTAAAATATTTTATTTTGGCTTATCTACTTCAAAAGGGCTCCTTCGACTTTTATTTTTTTTTTTTTTTGCTGAAATTCATTTTATTTTTTTACTTATTGTTTGTCAATATTAGTGGATAAAAACGAATAAAAGCATTCCTAACACATTCTAAGGGAAGAAATTCATACTCTGTTAAAGTGCTAGGAATTAGCTCACCCTATACTATCAGGGGAAATTAGTTCCAAGACTAAAACTTGGCTCATTACTAACACTGAGTGTTAGATATGGGCTAAGTCTGCAAAGTTATCTTTTCCAAGCGTATATATCTTTAGATCCAAGTCGAGATGAATAAAACTACACCATACATTTAAAATAAATGGCTAACAGTATATATCGAAACAAAAAATGTTACCTTTAAACTAACAATTCGAACAATATCCCTATTTGGAAACAATTACCGCATTTCAGCTCATGTCGCGTTTTTGAAACACTCAAATTCTTATCAATGTCAATTTTCATGCATTTACGCACTTATGAAACAAAACAATATTTTTTGATAAAAGGTAAAATTAAAAATACGTTCTTTTATAATTTATGATTGAGAAATCAAAATATTGATATTATTTTGTTCTTACAATATAGATTTTAAATTAACAGTAATGCGGGAAATTATTTATTTAAAATGCGGGAAAATAATAAACTAGCTTTATTCTCTTCTTATTCAACAGATATAATGGGGAAACTAAGATTCTAGAAATAATTTAGCAGTTAATTTAGTCTTCATGAGATAATTTTTAATTTCAGTGATTTATTTTGTAAGTTATGAAAGTGAAATTTGTTCTGAATTACTATATTCAGGATATTTTCGAAAATGGAAAATCTGACATTGTCTTGAAAACAGTCAAGGGTTTTAATAGTTCCTTTTATAATTTTGATTTCAGAAAAAAAGTTTTAAATTAGTAATTCTTTTACACGTCATTATAAATGTTGGTTATAGTTTTTATTATCGACTTTTACTCTTGATATGGACCGGGATCCTAAAAACCTAGTCTTTCAATTTGTTAGATTTTGAACTAATGTCTCCTGAATATGAAATGTGGGGGGGGGGGGGCTGATTTCCCTACTTCGAACATAAGTAAGTTTGATTTATCATTATTAAATTTTCAATTTAGGCCTCTCTGGTTGAGCTCGGGAAGCAGTTGCTTGCTGCTGCCCGGGATGGAGATACTGAAGGGGTTAGGGGGCTCATGGCTAAAGGTGCCCCCTTCACAGCAGATTGGTTGGGTACATCCCCCCTTCATCTTACAGCACAGTTTGGAAACTTCTCAACCTGCGAGGTAGATAACTACAATTACAGATAAAAATAAACCAGTTTATGTAGGGTGAAGTGGCATAATGAAACATTATATATTATAATGTTTAATGTTTTAAATGCTAATACAACTTTAAAAGTTAGTTTACACTACAAATTATAAGAGTTCATATTTTCGTAAATAATGGTTTAGTCACTTATCCTAAATAAAACATTTTTTATTGGGGGGATTTTCAAAATAGCCTAGAAAAATTTGAACTGAAATAGGTTAAAGATATTTATTGGAATCTAAAGTTTGTTTTTTACATGAAAAGTTTTTTTTTTATCAATTTTAGGTTCTTTTACGAGCTGGATGCAGTCGGGACGCAAGGACTAAGGTAAAATAAACGATGGATAATGGGAATTTAACTTAGTTTGCCACCTTAAAATATTATCAAGTTATAGTTCTCAACACAATATCTTATATTTTCTTTAGAAGTTATTATTTTGCAGTTTGCTTTACTTGTTCGTTTGTTCTGCGACTACAGGGTACTTCAAGTAGAAGTTTAGCGGGGTTCTCTGGTTTACATTTTTCTAAATTTCCATCCAGGTTTTGTCACAAAGAGATTTGAAAAGCTTCATGTGTGGAGCATTATTGGATAGCTTGTTCAAGGTTTTGCCTAAACGGGTCGCTGAAGAATCTGTTTCTTATTTTTAAGTTGGCTCTGTTTTGTTGGATAGCTAGGTAAAAAGCAGATTGTCTGGTTTTTGGGCGTTTTAAGGAACTCCCCATATGTACACTTAGGTCTCCCCAGAGGATTTAGGAAGCAGAATCTTGTTCATAGCATGGTTATAAGACAAGTTTAAATGACCAAAATGGAAAGCTTTACACTATTTCTCATAAAATTTCATACCCATCAAGCCCTTAATCGATCTCTACCCTAAACGAGGTATGATCTCAACCCGAATACTCAACGGGGTACAATACTCTACACTTTAATCAAAATGGAGTTCTGATTCTAACTAATTGTAATTAAGGTTTATTGGTTACAAGTCAAAATAGGAGACGTAATTACAATGTCTACGTTGTTATCTATATCACATGATATAAGGCAAATCATGTTACATATTACAGCACAATCCGCAATAGTCTCAGTTTAAGATATACGTCATAGATATCACATGATGAAGCTAAACATGCTACGTATTGATTTAGAACACATTTCAAATGAATAAATGTTTTTTTATGTACAAACATTAATTCATAAGTCATGCAGAAGTCCATTTTTAATAAGACTCCAGCAAAACTGTTCTCTTGGAAGATTTTTTGGAGCAGAACCAAGCTTTGAAATAAAGGGAGAAACATGGTGAAAGCTCATGACACCAAGACAGATGATCTGTATGGCTCGAGCTCATACTATTATGGGGTGCACTAGGGTAATATCAAATTATGTAGTGCACCCATTTTAGGCTGTGGTAAACACCTCTGGATTTTGATCCTGCCCCTCCTGGTTGTATCTCTCCATTATGTGTTTTGGAGTCCGGGGGTGCAGGCTTTTGTGTGCTCAACCCGTGGGTGGTCTGGGTCTCCCATATTGGGGGCTTTCAGATTTAATCTCTTTATCTTTATCTATATTTTACTGCCCGCCTACACATGTTGGTAATAGAGTTCTGAAGAGTCTCATAGTGAGACAAGGAGTTTATGGAGTTCACTTGGTATCATGAGCAAATTTTTTTGATATTGACGGGGCTTAAGGTAGTTTCATCTAGATCATTTATGAATATTATGAATAGTGTCCCCAAGACAGATCCCTGTGGGACACCAGGTAACACTTCAATCCATTTTGATTTTTGTCCGTTTATGACTACTCTCTGCCTATGGTTTGAAAGCCATTGCTTGATCCAGTTCAGACAACTTTCTGTTATTTCATGTGCCTCAAGTTCGTTTATTAATCGCTTATGCTGAACTAAATCAAATGCCTTTAAGTATTCCAAATATATTACATCTACTGGCTGTCCAGTGTGCATCATCAATTTCACTGGTTACAATTTCAAAAAAAACTTAAGATTTGTTGTTTCTGAGCGCTCACCAACGAAACCATGCTAAGTTGGTTTTATAAGGTTTTCTTTGTCTAAATGTTTAATGATACTATCTTGAAAAATGAAAAATTGTACTAATTTAAAGATTGAAAATCTATTGTTTGCTATTAGGTGGATAAGACACCATTGCACATTGCTGCTCAGGAAGGACATGCAGACATTTGTGAACTTCTTCTCATGGTAAGCGAGCAGGGATAAATATTTTCAAATTGTTTCATGCTAAGTGAGCAGGGGTACATAATTCAAGGATACTCATCCCCCGGGGGGGGGGGGGGGGTTGATTCTCCTAGAGATAATAAATGAAAAGTTGTAATTTTTTCATCCTTTTTGATACATTTTAGTTTTACCCCAAAATCATTTTTTTCTAATGAAACATATTTTAAATACCAAATGCAGCAAGAAACCCTTAACATCTGGGGAGAAAAACTATTAAAGAGAAGGGAGAGGGGGGGGGGTGTATGATTTTTAATGAAAATATGAACACCTGCAAGTGAGATAGATTTAACTAGGACTGAGCTAGAAGGAATCTTAAAATGATTTATCTAAATTTAGTTTTTATCAATTTGTGATTGAAATGGTTGTTTGGTAAATTCTCAAAGTGAATTTTATACATTTTTAAGTAATTGATTAAATAAAGGTTTTATTAATTGATTTATATATTCAATGACTAATGGATCAATAAAATTTTGTTTTAATTTATTACTTATTTTTTATTTATTATATATTTATTGACTGATTGAATACTTAAAAGTTTTATTAATTAAATATATATTTTAAAATATTCATTGATTGGACGATCAATATAGATTCATTGATAAATTTAAAGATTTATTGATTAAGAAATATATCTATATTATATTTCTTGACTTATTGATGGAGTGACTGGTTTATTAATGATTAATATATAAATGAAACACCAAATAAAACGTATCCAATGACAAATTGATAATAGCAAATTGATTAGTTGATGGTTGATTGATAGCCTTTATTAATACACTGATATTGAATGATTGGTAGATATTGACTGATTTACATTAATTGATTGAGTGATTGATTGATTGATTGCTTTATTCATTCATTTGTTCTTGTTCATTTGTAGAGCGGAGCGGAGGTGGATGCCAGAGACTTGTTACTTATGACGCCTCTGCACTGGGCTGTGGAGAGGGGAAACGTTAGTTCTATCGAGGTTAGTTCTTTATTTGGTATTCCTATCCCTGCTTAGGGTACTTGAAAACCAGGATATGCTGAGGGGGGGAGAGTCCAATTGACCCCTCCCCCTCTAAATCCCATGTTTGATGTCCAAATATGACAAATGATACATCATTGGAAAGCTCTTAAGCTCTACTTATAGAATCTGCAAACTTGCTAATCTGCAAAATTTGATTTTTTTTTTCAAAACCTAGTTACATATATGTTTTCAAAAAAATGTTCAATAAAACCATTACCCATGCCATTTCAAATATTTAATAAATTTTGCAATATTTTAGATAATCTGATGTGTAATTTAGAAAAACTAAAAATGTGCAAATTTCTTTTGACGGGTTGTATGCAAATAATTTGCAAAAATTACCAAATCTGACAACTCTAAGTGGGTCATAACAAAGATTTGGTTTGTTACAGTGTGTAGTAGTCATTCAGGCAGTGTGCCTGAGGACACAGGCAGTCAGTATAAAAGCCCGGTAGTTAGTATAAAAGCCCGGTTTTCAACAATCTTTGACCCCCCCCCCCCTCCCCACCCCCAGCAGTCCAGCAGTGATAGGATTAAGAGCCGTTGGTAATCGTTAGGCATCGTTTTAAAAAAAAATTATAATACAAGATTTCAAAATTGTTCAAGTTAAAGTTTGCTTTTATTAAACTTTGTGATGTCTTCATCCTAAAAAAAATGTAAAGCGATATAAAAATAACGATCGTTTAACACGTTTGTTTTTGGGTCGTTTTTTTAATATACCTTCTGTCAGGGTCAAAATTTATATAGTATACAGGGTGGCCAAAATGTACGGATTGTACGGATTGTTTTTTTTTAACCCAAAAATTGTACGGATTGTACGGATTTTTATCCTGGAAAATACAACGTTTTTTTAAATTTTCACTCATTTCAGCAAATTTTTCATGAAAATTAAAAAAAAAATTCTCGTCAAAATGAAGTTAGTTTAACTTATTTTCTGCATTCTAAATAATATTAGATTGATTAATGTTTCAATTGACAATCAAAATTCATTCATAATTTTCGAGATATGTCCAAGAAGTGTAAATTTGAGAATATGTTCCATAAGTACTTATTTGATTGCTTATTCAAGAAGATGTTCCACTATCCTGTACCCAGTATCCTGTACCCAGTATCATGAACCCAGTATCATGTACCCAGTATCATGTACCCAGTATCCTGTACCCAGTATCCCGTATCCAGTATCCAGTATCCTGTATCATGTACCCTGTATCATGTATCCAGTATCCAGCATCATGCACCTAGTATCATGTACCCAGTATTTAGTTTGTATAATGTATATATGTATGAAGCCAATTTTTTACAGATTGATTCTTGCTGAAGAAGTTCAAACCCTCTTACATGAACTGAACACAAAGGACAATTAATGAAAAATTGACTTTTAATTTTCAAAAATGAGATTTTTTTCGAAAATTGTACTGATTGTACAGATTTTTTAAAAAAATGTACGAATTTTTTAGAAAATGTACGGATTGGTTTAAAAAATGTACGGATTGTACGGATTTTTAAAAAAAAAATTACGGATTGTACGGATTTTTTTTTCGAAAATTGTACGGATTGTACGGATTTCTTCTGAAAATGTACGGATTTTTGTACGGATTTGTTCAAAAAAGTTTTGGCCACCCTGAGTATAAGAATAATAGTAAATGTTTATAATAAACTATTCAAAAACAATTGCTTTTTTCCAATATGCCAAATGTTGATGCCGAAGGAAAACATAGACAAAAACTAACTGACTGAAGGCTGACCACAAGTAAGAGGCATAATGGGTAAAAGTGCTTTCAAATTGGAATTCATCGGTTTTATTTCTACAAAATGGAATTAATTCTTTTACCGCCTTTTGACTTACATTACCGACCTATAATTTCCCTTAAAGAGGGACGTAAAGGTACTTAACGTCCCTTAAGTTTTTATAGGCAACTTCCCTGTAAAGTAGTTGTAAATAATTCTAATAAACAATTTGTAATGTAAATAATGTTAATTAAATCTAGAATTGTGTACTGTGTAGGTCCTGTTGAAACATGGCGCTAATACTGAAGCAGAATCCAAGTTTGATAAAACACCCATAGATATATCAGATGATAACGGAAGACCAGACCTAAAAGATATGCTAATGGTAAGCAATCTGTGTAAAGAGCGTCCCATATCATATTGTATTATCTCCAGCTTTTCGCTTAAATACGCACATGATACTTGAAAAACCTGGCATTTTTTACAAAAAAAAGTGCCTTAATAATATTTTAAAAAGGATTCATTCGTTTAAAATTTTCTGATTAGTCCCTTAAATCTCAATCTAGAGCTTTAAACGATCTAATATGATGTGGGACACCCTGTATAGTGTATTCTATCTGTATCCGATTCACACACCCCTTTATCACTCTTTAACAATGTTGGTGTTTCTGTGCTAAAACGCTTAATGCAAAGTATGAAAATAAGTAGAAAGTAGCATTAAGTTAAGATCTATTTCGCTAACCAGTCGAAAATCATAATTTTTTTGTTCTTGTCCAAACTATGGAAATTAATATTTGAAGCTCTAAAAATGTATTCTTTGATATTTAACGCTCAAAAATTTAATTGATTTTCTCGTGTCTAGACATATGCACCCTGAAACCTTAGCAAGGTTAAAATATTTTTTGCAAGAATGCTATTGACAGATAATGCATTACTTTCGTTGATTGCTTTTCGGCATATTTTTCCACAAAATAGTGATAACTGAAAAATGCAATTTCAGAACTATTAATTTCTCTTTTGTGATTAACAGGGGTGTAAAAAATTTTGGAAAGAAATTAAAGACCCAGAGGAGGGGAAGAGAAAGGAAAAGGAGAAGGAAAAGGAGAAGGAAAAGGAGAAGGAAAAGGAGAAGGAAAACGGAAGGGAAGGGAAAAAAGGAGGGAAAGAGAGGGTGAAATGAAAGGAAAAGGGGAAGGGTAACAGCGGAAGAAAGGGAAGGATTTGGAAGGGGAAAGTGGATAGGTAGAGAAGGAGATAGGTAGGGAAGGAGATAGGTAGAGAAGGAGATAGGTAGGGAAAGAGATAGGTAGGGAAAGAGATAGGTAGGGAAAGAGATTGGTAGGGAAAGAGATAAGGATGGAATTGGAAAAATAGGGAAGGGGGCGGTTGGGAGGGAAAGGGGAAGGTTTTGACGAAAGGAGGAACATAGGGAACTACAGATGGGACAGGGAAATGAAGTAGAATGGGAACGAAGAGGAAGGAAGAGGAAGGTAGGGTAGTTAGGGAAGGGGAACGCAGGGAAAGGGAAGGTAGAGAATCGATGGAAGGTTGGCCAATAAAGAAGTGAAGGAAAGGGCAATATATGGAAGGGCTGGAGCTCCTTACCTCTACATTTCTTCTTTACTTTATCAAAAATTAAAGAGTATTTCATTAATCATTTTCGCAATAGAGATAAGGCAGCATATAAAAACGTGTTAAAAATATGATAAAAGAATACTCGTTATTCAATAATTTTTCTAATAGACAACCCTACTAAAAAATATCATAAATTCTCCCCCCCATGAAAAATGATGGGAAATAAATTCCAAGAAACAAGATACTACTGGACTGACAAATACTCAATCCCAACTTTTTTTAAAAAAAATGCCTGCGGTTTCAGAAAATCAAAGTGGGAAAATATGATTAAATCGCGGGAAAAGAAAGGGAAAAGGGATCTAAAAAACCTTAAACTTCGTTCTGATGTTAGTAATGAGATTCTTTTAAATCACCTAGCTGGTATTTGACTCAGATTTTTTGGCAAAAAAGCTTTAAAAAACATGGAAAAATGTGGAAAAAGGGGGGAAAAAATATTTTTTTTCCACTTTTTTATTTTTTTTACTTAAAACAAACAAAAATGATTCCCATATGCAAAATATCATTCAGATTCTTAGAAAAATGAATTCATGAATCCAGAAAATCTGAAAATATTATCAAAGTGGGAAAATATGATAAAATGGGGGGAAAATATGGGAAAAGGGATCTGAAAAATCTTAAACTTCGTTCTGATGTTAGTAATGAGATTCTTGACTAACAAGCAGGTTTTTAAAGCACCTAGCTGGTATTTGACTCAGATTTTTTTGTGAAAAAGCTTTAAAAAACATGGAAAAATGTGGAAAAAGAGGGAAAAAATATTTTTTTCCATATTTTTTATTTTACTTTAAACAAACACAAATTATGCCCATATGCAAAATTTCATTCAGATTCCTCAAAAACATGAAGACAGGAGTCCAAAATGTATTCAAATGGGACAACAGTACCCTCCCCTTTGATTTACCATTAAGAGACAGTTCATATTTGTGCTGTCGGAGCAAAGCTTTTGTTTCAGTTTTTTGGTTGATATTTTGCCCCTAGGATCCGCATAATTTGCGGATCCGGATCCAGGAAGCCAGAATGTTGCTGATCCAACGGATGCTGATCCCAAGCACTGTTTGTAATCTAAACTTTATATGCTGATTGTTTATTAATTGTAAGTTGACACTTCGGATTTGGATTTAAGGGACAAAAATATTTTTATATATTTTTGTTATAGTTTTTGAACTTTTCCATCGTCCAGTCGTATTTAATGTTAATAATGCCTTATGTTGTCATTATTATTAACATTGTTATGATTTAATATAGAAGATTTTTAGAATGCTGCCTCGTATCGACCAATGGGAATTGGGAATGGAGAATTAAATCTGGATGATGGGACATTACAATCTTTATGTCGGGTAACTATAAAATCTTTATTTCGGGTAACTATAATCCTTATGCCGGGCAACTAAATAATCTTTATTTCGGGTAACTATAATCCTTATGCCGGGCAACCAAACAATCTTTATGTCGGGTAACTATTAACCTTTTGCCGGGTAACTATATAATCTTTAAGTCGGGTAACTAAATAACCTTTATGTCGGGCAACTAAACAATCTTTATGTCGGGTAACTATATAATTCTTATGTCGGGTAACTATATAATCTTTATGTCGGTTAACTTTAATCCTTATGCCGGGCAACTAAACAATCTTTATGTCGGGTAACTATTAACCTTTTGCCGGGCAACTAAACAATCTTTATGTCGGTTAACTATAATCCTTATGCCGGGCAACTAAACAATTATTATGTCGGGTAACTGTTATTCTTATGCCATGCAACTAGGGTTGGTAACGTTTTGATTTTTGAAAAAAACGATCGTTTCGTTAAGAAAACGTCGAGGAAAATCGAAAAACGAAACGATCGTTTTTTAAAAAATTCGTTTTTTAAAAACTGTCGTTTTTTAAACGATCGTTATAAAAAACGATCGTTAAAAAACGATCGTTTTTTATAAAGTTCGTCGTTTTGTTAACGATCGTTAACGACTACCCTTCGTTAACGATCGTTAACGACTACCCTTCGTTAACGACTACCCTTTGTTAACGATCGTTAACGACTACCCTTCGTTAACTATCGTTAACAAAGGGTAGTCGTTAACGACTACCCTTCTTGATAATAACCGTAAATTAGGAGACTACAGTCCTTCTTTCGATCTGAAGAATTAATTATCTTTATGTGACGTAATTATCAATCATTACCTTATCCAATCACTAATCAAATCAGTCTTCAAGGGATGACCTTTCATTAACTAAACAATTATGATCAAAACTTAATATGTTTAATATCTTGTACTTTAATTTCTTGTGTGCCAAATTTCAAGCATATATAAAACAAATAAAGAATTAGGTTTAAAGTTCATATTGACAATTTTGCGGGGCTCATGGCGGCTCTGCACTCTCAAAAGTAGAACAAATTTCTTCAATTCAATTCAATTCCGCTGAACATTTTATAACTGCTACGGCATGTAAGACGACATTTGATAAATCTAATTAAAGACGACATTTATGACTATCTTATTTAAAAACAATCGTATAAAAAACGGTCGCTTATCGTTTTTCTGAAAATGATCGTTTTCAAAAACGATTGTTCTTCGTTTTCTAACAGTTCAAAACGAGTGGGTTGTTTTAAAAACGATCGTTTTTTTGAGAAAACGAAACAATCGTTTTTAAAAATGATCGTTTAACGAAGCAAAAAACGATCGTTAAACGATCGTTTTCAAAAACGATTACCAACCCTACATGCAACTAAACAATCTTTAAGTCGGGTAACTTTAATCTTTATGCCAGGAAACTAAACAATCTTTATGTCGGGTAACTATATAATCCTTATGCCGGGTAACTATATAATCCTTATGTCGGGTAACTATATAATCCTTATGCCGGGTAACTATAATCCGTATGCCGGGTAACTTAACAATCTTTATGTCGGGTAACTATATAATCCTTATGCCGGGTAACTATAATCCTTATGCTGGGGAACTAAGCAATCATGTCGGGTAACTATAATCTTTATTTCGGGTAACTTCTCACTTCTATTTATATTTAATTCTTTTATTGTTAATTTCTTTTTGTACATTTTAAAACTTTTCATTAATTCATTACTTTAATTTCCCCGAGGCTGAATTAAAAAAATTTCAACCGCGTCTAGACGCGTTTCATACAGTTATATGGTTGGTTCGACATGATATTTTAATCAGCGTTCCGAGATTTGAGCCAGTGCGCAATTTGAACCGTTTCGGTGACGCGATTCAAATCCATAAAATTCGGCTTCTGGTGTTTTGCAGACTCAAAAACCAACATTTCCCCCTTTTAGGATGTTGGTATAACAGTAGGAGAGCAGGAAGAAGTACAAACATTTGCAACCAAGGTTTTAAAACTCAATATTATTAATTTTAAAACATATGTTCCAGGATAAATATCAATTCCTGAAACCCCCCCTACCATTACTTGATGCTTGTGATTTTCTATAGATAAATTTAAGATTTTTTATTAAAATTTTTTTAACCCTATCCCCGCTGGGGTACTTGAAAACCAGGATACGCATAATGTTATATTTTTATATTAGATGAACATGTCCCGGCTCGGGTTAGATCTTGACCCTGTACAACTTGCTCTTTCCTCAGCTGGAGAACATATACAAACCTCAGATAATATACAAGTAAGCTAGGATAGTATATAAGCTTCACGTCTCAAAACTGAGATTTGCCTCTTTTTTTGTTTTACTTTTCATAACCGTCTTCAAAATTGGGGTGAATTAAAAAAAGTAAAGTAAGGAAAAAGGCAAAGTCGTATTTTTGAAATTCCCCTTCTTACTGAACCAGCAATGAGAAATAAAAAACTTTAGGTATTTTTCTGACAAAACTGGATTTATCAATTTTAAAAACTGTAAATATATATTTTAGTTGTTTTATTTTTGGAGTGGAAATAAATAAATTTTTGGGAATAAAGTATGAAAAAGGATGAAAAAAACTTGCCTTGTGACGACCCATTTTAAAATTTTCCTCCTAGATCTTCAACAATCATTACCCAGTGGGGGGAGATTAATTCTTAAAACTAAACACCCCTGCTCCGGGCCCCATTTCCAATATTAAAACTCTTATTTCTGAATATTGTTTAGAACGTTGAAGAAGATCTGATGAATAGTTTACCAGACCTTGATCCTTCCAGTAGTGAGGAGAACCAAGATGATGCTATTAGGTAGGTTTACAGGGGTTTATATAGACCTTGATCCTTCCAGTAGTGAGGAGAACCAAGATGATGCTATTAGGTAGGTTTACAGGAGTTTATGTAGACCTTGATCCTTTCAGTAGTGAGGAGAACCAAGATGATGCTATTAGGTAGGTTTACAGGAGTTTATATAGACCTTGATCCTTCCAGTAGTGAGGAGAACCAAGATGATGCTATTAGGTTGGTTTACAGGGGGTTACATTGACCTTGATCCTTCCAGTAGTGAGGAGAGCCAAGATGATTTTATTAGGCAGGTTTACAGGGGGTTACATAGACCTTGATCTTTCCAGTAGTGAGGAGAACCAAGATGATGCTGTTGGGTAGGTTTACAGGGGGTTACATAGACTTTGATTCTTCCAGTAGTGTGGAAATCCAAGACGATGATTTTTATACTAGCCAACAAAGATACGGCTTTAAAATTGGGTTTTGCAAATATTTTGCAGGGACAAGTTTTTTGGATTTACACATATAGTAAATTTTGATTAAGGAGGACTGTGGGTTCAAATAATGGAAAAACATTTTCGAAAAAATAAATTTTGATTGTTTCAGATTGCTCGAGGCCCACGGTATCCGTATGCTACCAGAGGAAGAAATAAATCTATCTCAATCTTTAACCTTAACCGAGGCTGGAAAGCTTGTCCTCTCTTCCTTGTCCTCTCCAAGGACAGGACTAGAAACCTTCTCCTCTACCCGTCCTGTCAGTTTGTCGTCCCCGCGAACTGTAACCTTGTCCTCCCCGCGTCCTAACCTTGAGATAAAGGACAATAAGATAACGTTGTCTAGTATATCAGCAGGACGGGGTTCAAGCAGTAGTCCTTTAAATACACTCAGGAATAGAAACAAGTTGTAGAAATGTTCTCAACGATTGAAAACAATCTTTATCTCTAATAAACAATGAAAAATGTTTTGACTACTTAAAATTATCGCCATTTTCTTGCTCGTCAAAGTGTGAAAATCCAGGAGAAGATTTCTTTTAGAGACATCATCTAAGATCCTCAAGACGAAAAAATCTCCCTCATCCTTTAATATCAACATTTTAAATCGTTGTCAATAGTTGAAAACGGTTCATAGGATCCCTTTCTTTGATACAGATGCGGATCTTGGATCCGCCCTGAAAAAAAATAATCAAGATTTGGATCCTGATTATGAACATAAGATTTATTTAATTCTTTTAACAAATATATCCATGATAAAATATCTTAATATTTTTTTATTCTTCCTTTTTACATCATTTTTCTGACAAGTTGTTTCTATTTGATAGATCCATAAACCTTCCTAACACAAAAATTACAACCATTACGAGTACAAGACCCGCTTTTACGACGAGAAATACAATTTCAAAGGTACATATAGTCCTTCATTAACCCTTGTACAGGGGCATATAATTCCCTGAAATTTTTATTTTACAGCTTTTTTGCAAAATTAATAGTTTTCCCTTAAATAGGGCGAAACACCTTAATTTTACAAACTCAGTCAGATTTTTGCTTTGTTGTGTAATACAAATCATCGATGTAAATCAGAAAAAAGTTCGTCTAAATATGTCAATATGGGTATCAACATATCCATCTTGAAACACTGAGTTCATAAACGTTAAATTCGTAAAAATCCCTTGAAAATTAAGAAATTTTTAAGCAAAGCCGGTTTCAAGAAAGACTAATTTTTTACCTAAATTAGAAGATTTTTGTTTCATTGCAACTCTGAAAACAGGGAGGCAATGTAACATTGCCTCCCCAGGCTTGCAATGTTACATTGCCTCCCCAGGCTTGCAACGTAACATTGCCTCCCCAGGCTTGCAATGTAACATTGCCTCCCAAGGCTTGCAACGTGACATTGCCTCCCCAGGCTTGCAACGTGACATTGCCTCCCCAGGCTTGCAACGTGACATTGCCTCCCCAGGCTTGCAATGTAACATTGCCTCCCCATGCTTGCAATGTAACATTGCCTCGCCAGGCTTGCAACGTAACTTTGCCTCGCCAGGCTTGCAATGCAACATTGTCTCCCCAGACTTGCAACGTAACATTGCCTCCCCAGGCTTGCAATGTAACATTGCCTCCCCAGGCTTGCAATTTAACATTGCCTCCCCAGGCTTGCAATGTAACATTGCCTCCCCAGGCTTGCAACGTGACATTGCCTCCCTTAGGTTGCGACGTAACATTTTCCTCCCTGACGTGACATATAATATCAGCGATTCAAAAGTGCTGTTTTATTTTGTTTCAAAGTTGAAAACTTTATAGCTCCCTGTCCTAGTTTATGATGTGTAGTTTGTTGTAAACCAGGTTTATGAATACATTAAAGAACCTTTAAAAACAGATTTCAATGTTTTATATAGTAGAACTTTATAGTACAAAATTTTAAAACCAGTCACAATAGATACATATTTCCCTTCAAAGGAGGAGAAATGACGACCATAAACGCAGGAAAATTTGACATTTTGATTGTTTAATTTGGCCCTCTCACTTGAATAAAGTCTTAAATGAGTCTTTTTAATGAAATAGATACATGTAAAGCTGCGGGTAATCTTGATGCCGAACAGTCGTCTCAGAAGTCTCATCCTTTGTGGGTAACCCTGCACTAGATAGTAGGGCGCAAACTCAAAACCTGTTTTGGATTGATTTAGTTTACCTTCTTATATTTAAATAGTAATTTAAGATTTCCTCTTAAGTAAATGGGTGCTTTTTCTTCTTGTTCAGGTTAAAGGGACTGATGACGTAATATGGAATCGGGGCTTGATTTAAAGCGATAACATTTTTTTTTACAGTGATGTTATTTTTTATTAAGGTTCAATCGCAATTTAGTTGACAGTCTCTTAGCAGAGAAGGGGTGATGATTTTTCTTAAATAACTGTATTACCATAAATGTTTAGGTGGTGACAAACAGCAATCCAGTGAAATTTTTAGCTAAACCATTTCCTGTAGTCAGTAGTCCTATATATAATAGAAAAGGAAGTTTATTTTGTTCAGGTGGTAACATTAACCAGCAATCCAGTCAAATTTTTAGCTAAACCAACTCCTGTAGTCAGTAGTCCTATATCTAATAATAAACAACCCAGGTAAATTCAATCGTACTAAAAATTAAATTCAATTTTTTTACAAATATTTAAAAAATAATTTAGTTCTTCTATTACGGACTTCTTAAATGTTTCATCCCTCCTATAAATCTTTTTTCCTGTTTCATATCATGAATGGCAGCTTTATTTCTTATTTTTTTTAATTCACAATACTATTTTTTGAAAATATCAAAGAAAATCAATTCAGCCCATCGCCCAGGGAGGGGGGGGGGGGGTCTGACCGATTGGATTTTGCCGGGATATTAAACTTTAAATATGTTTCCACAATATAACCATGTGGAACACTTGATTTGCGGAATACATTCCACAACTGCAATAACCAAACGGAAAACATAGCAACATACAGAAACACAACTTCAATAACCATGCAGAACACCTGGCAACATACAGAAACACAACTGCAATAACCAAACGGAAAACATAGCAACATACAGAAACACAACTGCAATAACCATGCAGAACACCTGGCAACATACAGAAACACAACTGCAATAACCATGCAGAACACCTGGCAACATACAGAAACACAACTGCATTAACCAAGCAGAACGCCTGGCAACAGGCAGAAAGACAACTTCAATAACCATACATAACACCTGGCAACAGGCAGAAACACAACTGCAATAACCATACAGAACACTTTGCAACAGGCAGAAACACAACTGCATTAACCATACAGAACACCTGGCAACAGGCAGACACACAAGTGCAATAACCATGCAGAACACCTGGCAACATACAGAAACACAACTCACAACTGCATTAACCAGTCAGAACACCTGGCAACAGACAGAAACACAACTGCAATAACCATGCAGAACACCTGGCAACATACAGAAACACAACTGCATTAACCATTCAGAACACCTGGCAACAGGCAGAAACGCAACAACATTATTTATGCGGATAGCTTGGCATTACTCAGAAGCACAACAACATTAATTTTGCGGATAGCTTGGCAACATTTGGAAACACAACATTAACTTTGCAATTTGGCCACTTGGCAACACACAAAAACACAACATCATTATTTATGCGGACTAGTTTGCATCACTGGGAAACACAACAACATTTACGATGCAGACAGCTTGGCATCACTTAGAAACATTAACCATGTGGACAGCTTGGTATTACTCGGAAGCACCCCAAAGCTAAATATGGGCCCATTGAATCAAATGTCATCCGATCCAATCGTTATCTGATCCATGTGTTATCCGGTCCATAGGTTATCTGATCAATGTGTTATCTGATCAATTGGATATCTGATCCATTCATTATCTGATCAATATGTTATCTGATCCATTCATTATCTGATCAATGTGTTATCTGATCCATTCATTATCTGATCAATGTGTTATCTGATCAATGTGTTATCTGATCAATGTGTTATCTGATCAATGTGTCATCTGATCCATTCATTATCTGATCCATTCATTATCTGATCAATGTGTTATTTGATCAATGTGTTATCTGATCAATGTGTTATTTGATTAATGTGTTATTTGATCAATGTGTTATTTGATCAATGTGTTATCTGATCAATGTGTTATCTGATCAATGTGATATCTGATCCATGGGTTTTATAGTCCTGCATGTGGTGTAATGTCCTTGCCTTATCTGAACTATGTGTATCTAACCCATGCTTTATCTGATCCATGTGTTATCAGATCCAAAATTTGTTATCCAATCCATTTGTTATTTGATGCATGCATACATATCCGATCAATTCGTTATCTGGTTAATTCGTTATCCAGTCAATTCGTTATCTGGTCAACTCGTTATCCAGTCAATTCGTTATCCGGTCAATTCGTTATCCGGTCAATTTGTTATCCGTTCAATTCGTTATCCACTAAGTACGGCTGAGGGATTCAAGTCTTGTAAATAATATTATTATGCAGGGTGATAAAGTTGACCCCTCAGCAGTTTGCGGATTTAAAATCCGGGAAATCTGGTAAAATTGTACTGGCGGGAACTAATTCATTTAAGAGAGAAAATATTACACTGGCTTCACAACATAGGTAAATACGTCATTTGTAATTTAAACCATGCAATCCAAAGTTTTGAATTTAAGGATTGCGAAAAATTCCTTTTCTCACTGTTGTAGCTGAAGCTTTATAACAATACCATTGAGAGAGAAAAGTGGGACAATCTTTGTCATTGTGATTTAATTGAAATTTTACTCCTTGGAGTTTTGTAGTTTCCAGTTTTTGGTTCAGTTGTTGTTTAAAATTTTATTTGAATAACAGAATACAAGACTTGTTTGATGTAGAATAAATATCAATATATTTCTTATTGTAAACATCTTTTGCCTTTCTTCATATTTTGATCTATTTTATGGTAACATTTGTCATTTTTTAACTCACTTCAGCAAGATTAATTTACGGCTTATTGTGAGGGATATAAATTTTTTTGAAAATACTGTTTTTTTAGAAGACTCAATTCACTAAATAAGTAAAAGAAACTGAGCTGAAAACTTTAGAATGAGATATCCTTTATCATGATCTCTTAATTTGATTATCCAATGTACTCACTTTGGATTTTCTTCTTAATCATCTTTTTGGATATTTCTACTGTAGAAAAGTAACGTTTGATAACAATTACAGATGCAATGCTATATTGATTTAACTAATATCCGATTGAATTAAAGTCAGCTGTTCACAAGCCGGCTTTTAGAGCATTTAAACAAATATAAATTTAATCATCATGTTAATTTGAAATTATTAAAAAACATATTTTAGGACTATTGTCATTTCGAACCGTAGTCCTAATAGACATTAATACAAAACTTGTGTTCGTTCAATCGATATGACACCATCAACACGAGAAAATCAAAACCGGTTTTTCAAAAGTTTTGGTATTACTTAAAAGGCTTTTGAGATTAATTTGAAATCCAATTCCACTTTTTTCAATGAAATGAAACTTGTTATTCTAATCTTTTGTCCATATTTCACCTATAAAAATTCATAATTTAATGAATTTAATTATCAGGTATATCTCATTCTAAATAGTAGAGTTTAAATAAATTTAAAAAAATTCTTTGGATAGTGTTTACAGTCTGAAGACTTTCTAGTCTGCAAATTAGTGTCTGTAATTGTAACTTGTATGCAATATATTACTGTTTTTATCCAATGATCTTTAATATATTGTCAATAATTAACCTGTAAATTAGTATCATTATTATCATATGAATATATTTGTTATTAGAAAAATTCCCCGACTTGATGAAATTAATGAATTAAGAAGAAAACTAGAAGTTGAGTTAACCGAAGCTGAAAACTTGAGACAGGTAAAATTTTTAATTTTTTATAAACATTAAACAATACAAAATATCTCACTCAACCCAGCTGACATTTTATAATTTTTTTTCATCTTAAAAGCTTTACAAATCATTAATTCTTCGTCCCTTAACCCCTAAAGAGGGAGATAATGCTTATTATACCACATTCTTATCGGATTTACTACGTAGCCAAATCCGGAATATTTCTTGTTATTGTCACCCATTTTGTGTAATAATTATGATATTCCACGAACCAAGTGACAATATCAAGAATTATTCACCGCGAACTTGATAGATAGATAGATCCACGAACTTAGTGACAATATTAATATATTATGCGTAGGAAGAAAGTGTAATAATCAATATTATAACAATAATTTTGATTATTACACTTTCTTCCTACGCATAATATATTAGTCCAACCTCAATGATATTCAGGAGGCCAGGAAGAGAGACGAGGCTGCGGATCGGATACGGAAACAGATTAACATCCTCTCAAATATGTAGATCATCCAGAAGTTGGATTTTTACCTGCAAAGGGAGAAGATGTGAAAAGGGAAACTCTCAAATGTGATAAATAACATGAAGAAGATGGGGTTCTAAAAAGAGAAAGCCAAAAATTAAGAGTTCAGTGAGAACCAGATAACGGGAAAAGGAAGACGACATTAAAGCTACTTAGTATTTAATGTTGGTAAATGGATAAACTTTTAAATAGTAAATTATTAAAGGGACTGTAGGTCTAATTTTAAGTAACCCTTAATGCAAAGATATCAGTGTCCGATTTATAACGGTACCCTTGAAATCTTTATCTGATGAAAACGTAAAACATAACGTCGTTTTTTCTGACTTGGAAAAGTATTTTTTTCTGATAATTTATCCATTAATTCTGACAAGCAAGAAATGCGCAAGTCACTTTTTCAGAGAAACCACAACTGAAAATTAACAGTTTAAACAATGGTATCTTATTCATGCTTGATCTGACGAAGCTTTTAAGGGTACTGTTATAAATAGAGCATTGCCATCTTTGCATGTAGGACAGGTACTAACGCTTACAGTCCCTTTAAATGACATAAAATTAAAATTGGGTATATGTGTCATGTTCATTGGGAAGTCACAACTATAGTCTTAAAGTCGCCTTCCTGTTATATTTTTCTGTTGAAAATGAAGATGTTTCTTATGGAACAAAGTGAAATTCAGTATTTAGCCTTGTTAAACGATTGATATCGCTTTTCTCCATATCTACCAGTCAAAAATTCATTCAGTTGTCAAAATATATTATAATTCTTAATCGGTCGGCTCTACAGTAAGTCCTTAAAAAAATAACTTCACTTCTTCAACAAGCATAATTAACAATCATTATTAAAATGATGAATATAAGATTCCGGTGTTTTGAAATTTAGTTTATTGTGTTTGGTCCAAAGTAAGCTCAGCATGAATCTTTTATTTTGTTTTAGTTTAATTAATTTTGATTTAAATTGTAATTTAAGATTGGGTAATTTCTGTTTTCCTACCAACAATGCGGGTTATTTAATGTAAGATTTTAGAAAGTCGGATAAATTTATCATTAACAAAAATAGGAAGCGCAACCATTCTTCCTCCCTCACCCCCCTTTTTATTTGGAAAATGGAAAACTGTATTATTAGATACCAAATTCTTACAAAACATTCTAGTTTAACCCAGTCTTCGGAGCTAACGATAGAATTTACAAAATGTAATTTTTGAGAGCTCTTTAAAACTGTTCCCGCATATTTATGGCTATATTTATACATGTTAATAATTACTGAGATCTAGGTATAATAGTACAAAACCCATTGAAAAATTCTAAGACGACATTTTATAATTTCTTTTCGTCTCCGAAGTTCTGGGTTTTGAATGTTTGCTGTATCAGTGTATCATTTAACTAAGTAATAATTTCCCCAGCCCAAAGTACTCCAGTTGCGCTTCTGTTTTGTACATTTACTAACTAAGATTCAATCCACCATTCTTTCTACGAGCGCCTAATTTATCGCGATCTTAAAATTGTTGATTTACTCCTTACCTTGTTTGCCCTTGTACCTGTTCATGTACTTTAATCAGAATAGATATTGTTATATATTTATATATCATGCTTATGTAAATTTATTTTAGAATATTTTCAGAATTTTAAATGTTAGTAAGTCTCTGATCACTGGCCTGAAAGAGATCTATTTTCCGGTAAGAGGCTTAGATAGTTACCTGAGGCTTTAAGATAAAGAATTAACTGTGTTAACAGTTACAGTTTTAACCATTTAATCAATGTTTGACAAAAAATCTATGTTGAAAATTATGAAAATACAAAAAAAAATTTAAATAACACAGTTAAATGTCTAAAACATATAATATTGACGTGGGGGGGGGGGTCGCAAAAAAAAGTTATTACAGGGTGAGTAAAAAAGTGTGATTAACATCGTCTTTTATAAAAATGTTTTTTATCAAATACAAACAGAGTAAACTTGTCCGTCTTCACTGTTCATCTTGCGGAGACATTATAGACACATCTTTACCCTTTTCATAAAATAAACTATAGCAGACATAATAATATTATGGCTTTTGAAATTAGGTTTTACAATGCTAATTCATAACAAAGACGATATCGAATTCGTCACTGAATTCCCATGTTTTTTGGGACACCCTGTAGCTGAGCTGTATTTTAAGCTATATTCTGTTTTGATGTTTTAAAAAGACAGGAGAGATAAAAAATCCCTTATCTCAGATCTGATGCATGGGAATTTAGAATGAAAGAAACAATAAAATTATTACCGTCTTTTTTCTTTTTTTATTCATTGTATCCGAAAAAAGACCCTGCTTTTACTTCGCATACTTTCGTTGTTCCATATTCCCGGAATCTATGAATCTCCTCCTTTTGTTGTCCTTCATAATACAATTGCATGACTGCAGCGGGCCAGCATTGGAACCCGTTGCAACCGGTTTTATATTAGATCAGAGCTGAAAACTTTAGAATCCCAATTGGTTAATTAATTTGGAGATAATAACATGAGAACAAGCATTATTTAATCTGGAAATTAAGAAAACTTCTTGTTTTCAACAAAAGATATGCTCGGCATGAAAAGTAGGGAGACATAAACGGAAAAATCGTATTTTAAAGTTCTAAGAAATCTTATTTCGACAAATTTGCGGATAAATAAATCCATATTTTCTTGAACATCCATGATGCGTCTTCTAAGTGATACAATATATCGTGGATTTCATCATAAAAATTGTGTAATTTTTAGTATTTTTGCATCATGAAAATGAGCTTTGAAAATATCCTAAAATTTACTTCAGTAAAGTGTTGAGAACAAATTCGTATTCATTTTTTGGAACAAATTTAAGATTTAACTGTTTAATTTTACGTTATTTATTTTAACTTGAAATACTTGCTAGAAAAGGAGGTATGCCTTTTTTATTGTCATAGTTTAGTTTGGAAAGTAACCAATTGTTTTTAAATAAGTTACTTTTAAAAATTAAAAGCAAATAATTTTGTTAAATAATTTTTAATAAATTTCATAACTCATCCGTTTCTGGCAAATTAAAATTTGTATTTTTTACTGTTAAACAGCAGAATTTATTTTTAAAAGCCGATTAAAGTCCGGTTAAATCTAGAAAGCCCCCCCCCCCCCTTCTGCAAAATGAAACCCTGTACAGCTACGTCATGCAGTAAGTAGAGTTTAGACTCAAGTCAAGGCAGTCCCAGTACTAGGCAGCGGCAGCGCTGCTGCTGTGTGCACTAATCAATACTTAGATAAATTCAGGGCTTTGTCTTGACCTAGTTATTTTATCATAGTTAATAAATGAAAAATGTTTCTTCAGAACACATTATCCATTATTTTTGATAACTCCGAGTATAAAAATACTTAAAAGTGTTCGGTTATAAAAGAAAATTATCGTTTACTTTTCTTCATTTATTTATTGTATGTTCGCAAAAAAACTATTTATATAGAGGTATTGATAATATTAAGTTGATGGGTTTTTACTTTTTATTTTAGTATTTTTGATATATATTTCATCAACTCTATTCTGAGCCGAGTATCAGAAACCGGTTTTCCTGTGGTCTCCATGTTTTCAGGGATAAATATAATTTGTTTAATCGCAAAAAATTAAAAGTTCAGACTAGAAATAAAACAATGTTTATATTTATGTAATAAATTTATAAAATGCTCTTGCATAAAGTGGCCGGATTGAGAAAGAACTGCCTATATACTAAGTCGTACTTAAACAATTTATAATTATAAAACTGGTCAGATCTTTACTTCGTTATGGGACGATTATAGATTTACGTGAATATACCACTGTAGGTTTTGGTTAATGGACAAAATATATTAACTGTTTACATTTTTAGAAGTTAGTGAAATTGACCAGAATTCTGTTTCTTTATGTACTGTATTTATTTCGTAAATAAGGATGGTTTTCCCCCCTAGAAATGTTGTTTTCCACGTCTTACAGTATACACACTGCACAGGCAGTAAAATGCACACATTTTAAAAAGTTATCGATATTTTTAGACGAATCTAAATTTGTTAAGGCAATTTTTTTCGTCCATAAAAAATTCGGGGCCGATCGGTTCAGGTGTTCTGACGTTTATCGGTACAAACAAACAGACAAACAAAGTATATATATAGAAGGCGGGGGAAGAGGGTTTGTGTACATATATTTTACTGATGACGTATAGTAGGACCTCGAAAGCTACATGCTCATGATGATTGCAAAAATTTTTAGCAAAAAATTGTTATGGAAGATGGGTTATGCTGTTAACTAGTTGTTGTATATTCACATTTTTAAAAATCTTAGCGCCCAGCGGTCCTAATATGTCACAATAATAAATAAACAGACCCTATCCCGTTCTTCTTTGGTTTACTCTCATTGGTAAATTTTAAAAATTTTGTAATAATTTTCTTAATATTTCAGATATAAATATTTCTGTATGGAATGAGTTATCTTCTGCAGGGCTCGGGTGCTCTGCTAGCTCCATGTTTTGGGAGCTTGGGTAGAGAACTCACAAAATTTGCTCCCTGCATTTGTATACGATGCTCCAGATTAATCGAAATCGAGCGGGGCCGAGGCCCATTACAAAATACAAGATCATTTACGAATCAACCATCTCCCACCTTCCCTCTTCCTTCAATACCCTCAACATCGACAAACCTCCAGTATATATATCGCGACGTCAACGATATTGGTCATCTTCGTCGACAATTTCCCAGCGACAACTTCCGGCAGAAGTATTTTACGAGTTTCCAATCTCAGCTTCCTCTGTTAGGGTCGACCGGACCGATAGCGGTCAACCTTAACTTCACCTGTGCTCCCGATATACCGTACACAGGTGAGCAATTAATAAATAAATCTTCTTGAAAACTTAAGTATTTTTTAAATAATATTCAAATTATCCTTTTCATATTTTCTCTGATGTAAGGAAAAAAGTATAGTTTTCAATGTCGTTTTTCTAAAATCATATCTTCAGTGTTTATTTTTAAAGTCTTAAGAAATTCAACTTTTCTAACATTTTACGGTAAGGAGAGGAATGATAAATCAGTAATTAAGATCTGGAACGACTTATAGAATCGGGAAAAAAAGATGCATATTGCAGATCTACAGATTTGGGTCTAAAACATGGAGTCTTTGCTAATAAAATAATTGTTTCTTTAAAAGAAAATTAGGGATGATTACCTCTTCTTGATCCTTTTATCAGCAAAAATAGCAAGAAAAAAGGAAAATAATCATTTTTTTAAAAAAGAATCTTTAAGAAATATTGGGGTGAATATCCAGTACATATAATATTGTTATACTATATCTGGTATCCAGTACAGATAATATAGTTGTACTGTATTAGGTATCTAGTACGTACTGTATCAGGTATCTAGTACAGGTAATATTGTTGTACTTAATCAGGTATCCAGTACAGATAATATTGTTGTACTGTATCACAGGCGCGTACACAGGATTCAATCAGGTTGGGCAAGTTTGGGGCTCGAAGCTTTAAAATCTTTGTATCGTCCGACGTTTGTACTGTCCGATATTCCTGATTCTAACCTTTGCCCATAAATCTCAGGGGGGAGGGGCAGAAGAATTACTGGCCCTCCTGTGTACGCGCCTGCTGTGTATCAGGAATCCATGTACAAAAAAGAAAATATTTTCAACGAAGAATTTCTTCTGAAAGTCTCCCTCCCCCGGTACATCCTTTTAATCATCTCTGGATTGTTCAGCAGAACAAAACCCTTACCTCTCATATTTAACATTTTAACTTTCAGGTATCCAGTACAGATTCCTACACACCTCCCCGTGTGTGTCGGCTAGGCCTAGCAGTAAGCTGGAGGAGAGCGTGGAAAGGTTGAAGGAAAGACAGAAGGAAACCCTCCTAGAGCTCTCCAGGGTTAAAGAACTGGAGAAGAAAATTAAAAATGTGATAGAAAAGGACGAACAGTTGTCCCAGGTAAGATTATGATCAATCTAAGCAATGAAGACAACCCCCCCCCCACCCCCATATGTAAAATTGTACAATTTGCAACCAACAATTGTTATCTAAAAGTTCAATTATTTTCCGCTAAAAATTAGTTATTTTCCCAAAAAATAAAACCCTGAAAAAATTCCCGGTCCATGCATTCTTCGCTAGGAAACAACCAAACTTTACAATTACAAAAATGTTACCATACATTTATCGAGGTTTTAAATGAATAAAGAATTTAGGTATGTATTTCTTATCCTTCCTGTAGTTGATCATTGAAGTATGCGCAAACAAAAGATTGCACAATCCTGAGCTTTTTAAAACTTTTCAAACTTTTAATCTTTGTCATTAAATTTACATGTTATCAAATCCATCTTTACCGTACAGAAGCCCTGTTTCTGTTACAGTACTTAAATCATGAAAAGTCCTAAAACTACAATTATTGAATGATATTTTAAAAATAGTTTCATTAATTGAATATATTTGGTTAGGCTGTGAAAGTTTCAATTGATCCGAAAAAACATTTGACTACTGTAGAGAAAAAATCTTTGTGGACCAGGTTAGATTTTTAGCTATTTCATTAAAAAATTAACTTAATCCGATTCCGGTAACACAAAACAAGTGGTGTAACATTTTTCCGCTATTCATTAAATTTGGACTCTGAACAATCCTGCATGCAGTACAATTCTATGTATGTATAAAATTGCATTGCCATAAACAACCTCTAATTAATCATTATCTTTGATGGATAAAAGTCGTCTTCCTTTTCTGCAGTTTTCTGGTTATCACTGTAATGCTGACAATTTCTTTAACCTTAATTTTCATAGTTCTCATGCAGTGCTTAGTTCTCCTGCAGTACTAATGTATGATAAAAAATGGAAATTTTACGTTTTAACTTTTAATAAAATCTTAAAACTGGATGGAAAATGTACGAGCTTTAAATTGGATCCCATAGAACTGTTACCATGTCATAGGTTTGTTGAAGAGTGTAAACATTACTACTCTGGGTTCAAACTTCTGTTTCTTGATGTCAGGGTTTCATCTAAGATTATCTGGAAGGTTCTAAACGGACACACACTCAGCAGAAGAGAAAACAGGTACAAACTTTATTTTTTTACTTCTAACTTTTATCTTGGAATTTTTTTCCCAGTGTTACTAGGATTTTTATCCAGGTTTATTTCTTCACAAAATTGGGGGAAATTTGTTTTATCAGAGGATTTTTTTTGAGTGAATTGTCAAAACGGGAGAAAATTTGTCTGTTCAGTTGTTCATATGTTTCCCAAATATTCATAAATGCTCCCACAAGTGGGGGGGGGGGAGTAATTCTTCAAACTTTATACCCCTGTAAGCTGTACTTCATCATATTCATTTTTTTATTAAATCACAGAGGGGAGAGAACAAAGGCATTATGTAATGAGATTTGTCGTGAACTGAGGTCACTTATCTGTACACATTTTACTGTGACGGCTAGTTTTTTTCTGTAAATCTGTTTTTTCTAGGTTTAGGTTTACAATTTTTGAGTTTTATTTGCTGCATTGGGGGAAAAAACTTGGGTGAAGAGTACGAAAAATGATGAAAAAACTTCCCCTCCCCCACCCCCAGATCTCCAAAAAACATTTTCCCAGGGCCGGGGGGTAATTCTTAAAAACAAAACCCCTAACGTCTGGTCTTTTGATATCTAAAATCATTGTTTTCTAGCTGTCGTTTATTTACAATTTACTAGTTTCTGTCCATGCCTCATACGTTCTCACTTCAATACAAATATGAATGAAACCCTTAAACCCCACTTAATTGTACACACATAGATGTTATGTATCATTATGGAAATTTTCATGTCAACTAATTAGGGCGAATCAAAGTATGAGCCCGACGTTTGTACTGTCCGATCTTTGTATCGTCCGACGTTTGTACTGTCCGATCTTTGTATCGTCCGACGTTTGTACTGTCCGATCTTTGCATCGTCCGACGTTTGTACTGGTACCGATTAGAATAGAGAAGGGGGTTATTGAGTTTGTCCTTCCTGAAAATTTCGAGCCTTGACTGCAAACTAATTCTTCAGTTATCCTGATACATCATATTAAAATTTAAACAATCTCTTTCCCCTCTTTGTTATAAATCACGAGGGCCAGGCCGTATGCTGCATGTTGAATCACTGCGCCTTTAAAGTGGTCTTGGGGTTCCACGCCGGGTTCCGTTTCAGATATTTCTATTATTTCTCATTTCTATACTTCGAATCTAACTACATTAAGTCCAGAAATAGTTAATTTTGATATTCCATGCGGATACTATGATAAATCTGAAAACAACCTTCAACATTTATTTTTTAGACAACTTGTGCGTACTGTGTCAGATTTGTTCCGTCTTGTTCCTTTCAGTGTATTTATTATCGTTCCATTCATGGAACTGTTACTTCCGGTAGCACTGAAACTGTTTCCTGGTATGCTTCCGTCAACATTTACTAGTCAGGTAAGGGTTAGTAACTTACTGATAGTGTTTATTCTCAAGGAAATATTTAATACTTGGAACATTACTTGTTATGATTGAAACACACAGGAATACGTATAGATTAAATTGAAAAAAAGCTTTTCCCCCCCCCCCTCCATTTTTATTGGTATGTTTTGAGCGCACATATTTTCTCAATAAAAGTAATTTCCTTCCCTGCAGAATTGTTATCAAAGAGTTAAGATTAAAATGTCAGGGGTGTATATTCTAAGAAATCAAAGACCAAAGATGAGGCGAAGAGAGGGAAAAAGGGAAGGGGAAAGAAAAGGAAAAAAGGAAAAATGAAAGAAATGGGGAAGGGAAGGGAAGAAGCTCTTTACCTTTACACATGCCACGTAACTCTATCTAAAATAAGAGAATTTTTCATAAATAATTTTCCCCAATAGTTAACAGCACAACTTCATAACAAATATGATAAAAGAAGGCTTGAAATTGTTAAAGTAGGTTTGACTTTTATGCATTGTAAAATGTAACATTTTAGGGATTATTAAGCACTGCAATATGCACATTAAAAAATTATTTCTTAAGGAAATTAAATAATAATTGAAGGGGGGGGGATAAAGAATCAAAAAATTTGAATTATTTACACCCCTGTCTTTTTTCTAATTTAATTTTCTTAGCCCCCTCTCACCACTTTAAAAATCATATTATTTTAGAAGTTACATATTATGTTCCGAGTTTTATTCGCTAAACTAGGGGAAAATCAAAGAATTTTTGGATGAAAAGTTTTAAAATGAATATAAAAAAGTTGCATTTTGATGTCGCAATTTTTTCCTCTCAAATCATCAAAAATCATTCCCCCCAGGAGGAGGAGGGGGGGGGGGTGTTATTCTGAATAATTTAAAGCCCTGCAAAATGTAAAAAGTAAAAACACTAAATACAATATATAAATATTTTTTTTATACTAAGGATGAAAGAGAAGTGAAAATGCGACGAGCTTTGGGTGCTAAACTTGAATACGCGAAATTTTTACAACAAACTCTAGGAAAATTCATCATAATTGCATAAAAATATTAACGAAAAATAAAAAAATGAAGAAGACCAATGGATCGAAAACCTGAGCATAAAAAAGTAAAATGTGATTAATTGATTAAAAAAAGGAAAGGGATGATTTAATCATTATCCCGAAGTGCTCGCGATAACTCATGGTTTTCGATATTGTGGTCATCTTTCAAATTATTTACTATCATTGAAAATCTGAAGTTAAACTCTGTTTATTTTTAAATATATTAAAACATGATGAAATATTGTAGATGATATGGGTCCAACGGGTAAAGGGCATAAATCTCAATCTGCAAGGTTTGTTATGATTTTAAGGCTTTATAATATATAGAGAATAAGAAACTGTGAGGTTGTTTACATTTTAGCGTGAATTGACTAGTTTGATTATGTTCCATGAGATTGTAGAATATATTTAATTTTCTGCAAATCTTTGACTGGTTCTGAACATTTTTTAAATCGGATTCGCATAAACAATACAAATATTTGTAATTAATTATAAACAATTAATTTTCTTGTTTCGTTTTAATTTGATATTGAATATTTCAGGGATTTTGTGAGTTTCTATCAATCTGTGAAGCAGGAAGGAGCTCCTGTCACAAATAAAGAAATTCTCAAATTTTCCAAACTTTTTGAGGATGAGATCACCCTGGATAATATGACCAGGTAAGGTTTTGAGGATGAGATCACCCTGGATAATATGACCAGGTAAGGTTTTGAGGATGAAATCACCCTGGATAATATGACCAGGTAGGGCAGGACTTTTTTTTAATGATCATAGATTAATCAAAATCATAGTTTTTTTAAAGAAGGACTTAGTATTTTGTATTCAAATTTAACATGTTATTATCTAGAGGTCAACTGGTGGCATTATGTCGACTGCTGGAGCTAACCCCTATCGGAACTAATTCTTTTCTACGGTTCCAGCTAGAGATGCAGTTGAGAAAGCTTAAGGTAATTCACATTTAATCAAAAAATTGTATTTGTCATTTAAAAGTCTCACTTGCCGATGCACATACAAATTTAAACGACGTTAATCAATCAATCAACACATTGTTTTTTAATGATATTTGGGAAAATGGTTCTGTAGTGGGGAAAATTTTTTAGGCCTTCAAAAATTTCATTAACCTTATAATTTTACAAATCCCTGGAACCGCGATTTAAACAGTAAGACATACGTGCGAAAATTTTGGAGTCGTCAAGAAGGGTTTATACTTATAATAGTCGATGATTGATGAACGAGAATAGATCCATTATTCAATCATAAATAATTCATCCCCCCCCCCCATTTCATTATTACGAACAGTCCCTTTAACTGTGGATATTTTTAGGCTGATGATATTATAATCTCCCGTGAGGGTATAGACGCGTTGAGCGTGACTGAACTACAGATCGCGTCAAAGGAGCGCGGCATGCGCGCACTGGGTATTACTAAGGAAAAGCTGACCGAGCAACTTAAACAGTGGATTGAACTCTCAACTAATGAAAAGGTATATAAAACAAAATATTCAATAACTAATTGAAAGCCACAATTTTTATATAACAATCAAATTGTCAATGATTTTTCTTTCTGATTTGGCGCATTTAAAATAAAAGCAATGTCAACATATTTTACAAGCAAAGTATCTTCTATATACTTATTGCTGTAATCTGTGTTTGTTTGTCCGAACATAACTCAGGAACCCCTGGACCAATTTGCTTCAAAATTTAATTGGGGATCTCGGAGAGGTAATTTACGACCTATTGCGGGTAAACGGCGGAATTTATGACGAGTAACCTGGGCAAAGCTGGGTTCCCAAGATAGTATAAAAATATTATAAGATAAGAAACTTTTTCTCTAAAGAGCTTCGTTTCCTAAATCTTGGTAAACAATGAAAACCAGAAGATATTGAAACTTTCGTCATATTTATTTTTTATATTATGAAATGTCAGTAAAAAATGTTGTGACGATTGCGACTGCAAATTATTTCTATAAAAGTGTCTTTAACATTGTTGGAAAATAGCAAATTACAAACCCTTAGCTTTTTTTTCACAGTTTTCTGTTTCTAACTGTACTTACTACAGCCAATCTCACAAATATAAATACATAACAAGAGCGCTTGATTTGTCGTCTTGAAAATTATTTTTAAATGTATGACAGTTGTAATGCTTCATCCTTGGTTGCACAAAAAGAAAGCTTCTCGGAAAGATGTTCGCAGCTTCAAAGGGTTGATTAAGATTTATTAAAATATTTCCAAATATCAATATAGACCGTCATAAGTTTTTTGATTATTCTTAAGAAACTGCTTCTTATTTTTAATTTAAGGTAAATAATAGCCCTGAAATATGAAGGACAGCAATTGATAAATTAAACTCGATTATCCGTGGCATTTGATCTTAAATATGTTGAGAATATGAACATAAACAAACTCTTGCTTTGTATTCATATATTTGGGGACCACTGTAACAAATTTAAATGACAGTACAGCCATTACTTCTGTTTAAAAAAATTCCAAAAATTTGTGGATAAAAATGTATGCAAAAACTACGAATCAATGAAATACAAGGTTTTGTTTAAATTGCATGCAACAAAATTCTCCGAAATGAAAAGTTTTATTTCTGCAGAATATTACGCAAGAAGGAATTACTACCAAGGGCACCATCCTAGAATTTCGTTCATAGTTGTAACTTTTAAGCACTTTGTTCCCTTTAGAAAAAGCTTGTGTTAAAATCTAATTAATCTTAGATTTTTGTTTAAAAACTAAGTGCTACAGTTTATTGGTGCAGTAGAACCAGATAAAAAAAAAATTGACGACGTAAAATTGTTGATCAGAGCAATCGTTTTAATTGGTATTTTCCTATTTCCTTTAAGATACACTACCTTTACAGGGCCTTTAAGGAGATTACTTTCATGACGGGCTCCCTTGCAGATCTACCATTATTCCTTATTCTTATATATCCTAATCTTCTACTTGTTCCAGGTTCCTCCAAGCCTTCTCCTGCTATCCCGCACCTTGTACCTGCCCGAGAGTGTTGACCCTGCGCTTAAAATCGCTGCTGCAGTCTCAGCTCTCCCTGACTCTGCCGCCACCGGCGCCAAGGCGCGCCTGGGTGAGCGCGAGGGTAAGATTGAGAATGTGACGCGACTTGAGCTGATCAAGGCGGAGCAGGCGAAGATTGAAGAGGAGGCGAAGGATCAGGCGAAGGAGATCGAGGATAAACAGAAGAAGATGACGGATGAAAGAGAAAAACTCTTGAAGATATCTCAGGTTAAATTCTTTACAATTGTTAAATTATTTTACCAAAATTCTACTCAATGAGAGTAGAAATAAGGAGAGGGTGACTTAAATTCCAATATCTATATGCGACTGTGATTTTTGAATCTGATTTTATAGGCGACCGTTTTATGGGGGGGGGGGGGTCGCACACTTTGCTTAATAAAAATATTCTTGTTGATAATTTCTAATGACTTAATTGTAGATTCTTGTTGAGAGCATAAATATTTTAAAAAGGACAAAACTTGAAAAAGAGATTTTCTTCTTATTTTGCTTAAAATTCTGAAGTTAAATAAGGATGCGATGGCAAAAAAGGATAAAAAGTTAACATTACGAATACCCATTGTTTAAGTTAGAGAAATGAATGTATTGTATAAGCCTGTACATTATTACACTGATTAAGCATTATAGTGCTTAGGATCCATTTAATTTTGATCCGCACTGGAAAAAATGGAATCGGATCGGGATTCAGGTTATTTCCTTAAAATTCAAGGAATATTTTTAACGAAGCAGAATTTTCAAATTTTGTGTCATTTTTCGCTTATTTTTATGCAAAACTAATCTCTCTCTTTTCAATAGTTCAAATTTGGTTAAAAAAAAATTTGGCAGTTTATGTTTGATATTTTACCCCTCGGATCCGTATTCGTGGATCTGCATATTTTTGCGGATTCGGATCCTTAGATCCGCGTATTTTTTCGGATCTGGATCCAGGAAGCCAAAAGTTTGCTGATCCAACGGATCCGGATCCTAAGCACTGTAATACGCAATGCTAAAATGTATTCAACTGTTGATCTGATTTGACTTTGATGAACTTCTCCTGATTGCAAAGAAAATGGGTTGAGAATGATTTTAGCTAATGCTTATAAACAAAATACTTGAAGTAGTACATACACAAGTCCAAGAGTTAGTTTCAAGTATTTTCTATAATTATTTTAAGTATTTTTCTATACGTTTAAGATAATTTTATTGTAGTCTTTTCTCGTTTTTTTTTCTTAATGAATTATTTTGATTGTGGGGGGAACTGATCCCGTGCAAAATATAAAAGTGGATTAGATTTATTTTGCACAGTCTATGCACTCAATACAAAATGTACAAAGTTTTGCTGATACATATATTGAATTACTATATGTATTTTGAAACATTTTTAGATAAAAAAAATATTATATTATGAAATCCTCCTGTTCCATATTTGATTAATTGATTTGTTCCATATTTGATTCATTGATTAATTTCTCCTTTTAGGCTGCGTTGAATAAATCAGTTTATGAGCGAGATCTGGGTCTAACCCCAGCCCCCTCCTCCTCAGCGGAGAGGATAGTGACCGAGGCTGTCAGCATCCTCAGGAAGGCAACCGTGTCTGCGGAGGGGGAGGTTCGACACACTGGGGAGCAGGATTCTATATCTGAGGATACCCATGTTGGTCACGTGATACAGGTCAATATTCATGCTTATTCATTGGGGGGAGACCAAGGGTCTAGGAGCACTAGGAGATAAGAAGAAATTAAATTTTGGATATCAACTGCAAAAAAATGTCATCCTGTTTTGGTCCATTTTGACTAAAAATATTATTTATATTTCCTTTAAATTCATCTGTTTGGCCTAAATCAGTGAATACCCCCTTAAGATCAACTTTTTTCAAAATTCTTGCTAATTATTTGTTTGTTTTTTTAATTACGGGGGGGGTTTCTATCAGCAATGCGCACGGTGAAGAAATATATGGGAAATTCTCATTATCCCGTAGAGAAAATTTTTGAGTTTGAGGGACTTTTTTCGAATGGAAGGAAAAAGTATAAATCTATTTATGTAATTAATTATGAAAAGAACTTTTTAACTAACTAATCTGTAGATTGAAGTATCCCTCTTGTTAAGTACCTAGAGGGGGTTAAGCTTTTAGTTATGAAAAATATTTCTAGCTTTTAGTTAAGAAAAATATTGTAAGTTGGCAGCTTGAACGATAATGTTGTGTAACTCGGTCCTAGTTTATAAGTGTTCACGTCAGAGAGTGTTCTAGACTCGACATTGCAAAAAGTAAATCTACCCGAAAATTCATTTATTTTGCTAAAACTTTTTGACATGAATACCTATTTTTTGTTTTTGATATTATTGGATTGATTATTTTTTTTTAATTTCTGGATATTAAAGATTAATGATTTGAACTATTTCATTTTTAAATTAAATGATCAGACAAATTATTGAAAATGTATATTTTCTGAAAGCTAAAGGGGGAGCCTACTTCTCACACTTTTTTCTGTAATTTCATTACTTAAATAATGAAAAAAATTCCCCACCAAAAACGGTGTGGGAGATTCTTTAATGAAAAAATATGTCAACGAGTGCTTTTCTTTGAGAAAATTCTTGGATTTTAAACCCCGTCGCAGCTTGAAAACGTTATCAATTTTTAGATAAAGAAAATGACGGGAGGTTATTACTTAGCTATGATTTGATAAGAAATAAATTGCAAACCGGAATGTGATTATTTTGCATCTTTGTTATTTTGAAAATGAAAATGAATTGTCGGAAAATTTTAAAAACCTGTTTTTGATCTTTCTCAAGTCAGTTACCGTTGAATAGCTAAACCAGATTTATACTTTCTTCGAAAAGTTTATTATTATTATTTTTTTGGAAATAAGATTCTTAAAGTTGACCAGTAAATCTGTTGAATTTTGCGTACTTTGCCCTCTGCAGATCCTGCAGATTGCACTTTTTGTTTACGCTCTAGTTACTGTTGGGCAGTTCAGAATTATCTTAAACTTTTTAAAATTTAGTTCTTGAGCTTTTTAGTTACATACTTAATGATTAGAAATAAATTATTTTAAACCGCGCTAGAAAATTTTAGTTTTGATGATATTTTTGGATGGCCCCCTTGCCTGGAGACTAGATGTCTGGCCTATCAAATGAAGTGTGTAAGAGGGGCGGGGGAGTGTTTTCTTGCCTGAAAGATGGGGGGGGGTCAGGCCTACGTCAAAGTTTTAAAATTACATTCCTGATTATTTGCGCGTTTTACAGAAGTTTGTTTTTCAGGAGGTGAAACAGGCTCCTGTCCCTGTATCTTCTATATCTAAGGAGTTGTCTCCTGAGGATCTAGCAGCGCTCAAAAACGCGATCGAAGCGATAACGAAGGAGAAAGGGAAATCGTTCCTTCAGGAGCACGAGGTGCTTCTTGATCTGAAGCAGGAGCTCACAGATTATGAGGAGGATCTAGGTGGGTTCTTACCCCCCCCGGTCCGTAAAATGTAGGGCTTCCAGGAGGTTTTCAGGCCTCAATATAGGTGCTGAGCTCCCCCTTCGATAAAATCCTGAGTACGGCCCTGCCTAAGATCCATAACATTTTGATCCATTGAAGAAGTGGATGGATGTAGATCTTGATTTAGCCCTTAACTAATTCGTAAGTTCTCCTAATGTTGTTCCAAGAGAAAAAAATTCCCAAATCTTGAGATTTTCTTATTCTCGCATTATAGTTAAATTTGAGGTTTTATGGATAATATTTTCACTTGGATGTGGATGATCCGTATATTATAACTACTTTAATCTATTCATTAAATCAAACCTCAGAATTCCCTAATGGGTTTTGAACAACCGAATGAGTTGAATCAATTGAGGAATGTCTGGACTACAAATCTTAAATCAGAGGCTGAATTTTAAGAATTTGAACCGTGTCTCGACGCAGCTTAACTACTAAACTGGTTATTGGCGGTTCAGCGCCGCAGTTTAAATTCTTTTTAATTCGGCTCAGTTGTTGTTGAACCAGGATCAGATTGAACCAGATTCATAAGTTTCTAACTCCTCCAATAATCTCTTGTGATTTAGGTGAGCTGGCTGAACAGGCGGAGTTGAGCGGAAGGAAGGATATGAAGCAGAGCAAGGGGGCGGCCAGGCTCTTCTCCAGGGTCAACAAGATGCTCAAGAATATCGACGGTGTTGTCGGTAAATTGGAGGTCAGTCATATTCATAAAAGACGTTTTTTTCTTCTAAATATAACTTTTACCTGAAAATATGTGGAATATTTTTTTGTTTTATGAAGAACTTTTTGCATCCTATATTTCACCTTAATTTTGATCCGGATTTAAACAATTATTCTTTAGGGATTCCCGTTTTAGTTTGAAGTAACCCTTCATTGTAAACGTTTATCTCCGATCCACAGTAGCATCCTTTAACTCTCAATAATATGGAAGATATTGTCGTTTTTCTTTCATATATAGTTTTTATTTCTGACAATTTCCCTCACTAATTCTGTAGCAGAAGTCCGCTAGTTCCTTTATTGTTAAAAGTACCAAGTGAAAGGCATGAATATTTAATTTATTCTTAATCATACAAAGCTTTTAAAGGTAATGTTGTGGATTAGAAATGACATTCTATAAATAAAAGGATGAATTGATTCTATATATTTGATGTCTAGGCTAGGAAGAAGGTTCTGTCTACCCAGATAGATGTATTGGATAATGCTGGAGCAGCGAGTAAACTTCAGCAGAACCATCTTGTAACTGTTCAGGAGCTTCTACATGTAAGAATATTAATTCTTTAATGCACATTTTGTTTCTCAAAATATACCTTTGGATTTATAGATTTTGTGAACATAGTAAAAAGACGACATTGTAATCTTCCTTGAGTGGATGATCGATTTGTTTTTTGATTCTTTTTTCGATTCAGAAATAGTCGTCCATGATTGATTGGTCGGTTGGTTGGTTGGTTGGTTGGTTGGTTGGTTGGTTGGTTGGTTGGTTGGTTGGTTGGTTGGTTGGTTCGTTGGTTGGTTGGTTGGTTGATTGATTGATTGATTGATTGATTGATTGATTGATTGATTGTGTTCAGGCTGTCCGAGGACTCCAGGATGTTGCTGACTCCTCTCGTCTTGAAAGAATCGGTAAGATTAATCAAATTCATCTTCTCTCTTTTTTTTTTCTCTTTTTTTTTGTAAATTGACATAAGATTTAAGTCTGATCAAAACTTGGGAAAATGTTAAATGGGACCTCAACTTTTCAAAAACACCTGTTTTTTACAGGATTTTTATTGATAATTTTAAACTTGCTCATATTCATATTGAGCTTCAATTTAAATATAAAAATTGTTATGACACGTTTTATTTATAATTAGGCGAGGTTATTGCAAGAATGGATGATGATAGTGATGGAATAGTTAAACTAGAACATGTTAACAAGGTGATCAGAAATAAAAATTAGCCATTATTGAAGGATATATAAGCAAATTTATGGAGCACATAATACATAAAAGAATATCAATAAACAAAAAAAAATTGATAAAAATAAATTTGGACATGATTTAATGAATAGCAAGAAAATTTGAACTATTCTCTCCAAATTAAACGTGTTAAGTTCGAGAAAAGGTTCAACTACGTAAACGCGTTTGAATTTTTTCTCGCTATTAATAAATTTGATCCTTCGTTAGTATTGAAAATCAAATCATAATAAGAAAGTAGAAGATTATTAAGATAATAATTATAAAATTAACTACTAGGTATAGACCCAGAATTTAATTAACAACTGAACAACAAAAATAATTCAAAATAGAGGAAAACTTAACTTTTAACTGAAGTACGAATAAAATGTTGAACCTCTACCTAAACCTAAACATTTAACAAGTTCAACAGTTAATATTGTTTAGGTTATTGAACTTCTAGGTCGGGATAATGTAAACCTAAACAAGTTCAACAGATAATACTGTTTAGGTTATTGAACTGCTAGGTCGGGATAATGTAAACCTAAACCCTAAACAAGTTCAACAGATAATTGAGCTCATAGGTTAGTAACAATAAAAATGATCAAAATAAATTGTACTGGAGAAATAACCTATTAGAAAAGATAAAGTCATTGAATCGAATCTATTGTATCTCGTTTTTTTTTTCTCTAAAACTTTAATTACTTTAATGCTCATTTAAAAGAAGTAATTATTCACATTTTTTTCTTTTTTTATTAAATTCATTGATAAATATATCTTGAATGTTAATTATATCATAAGAAACATAAAATTATTTATTTTAACTAAAAAAAAATTGAGTCAACAAAGCAAAATTGCCCAGTAAAATTAAGGACAAGTGAAGATAAAAGTTAAAAATCGTGGGTTTCTGGAAGAAGAAAAAAATTTTAGACTCATTTTGTTTTACGGGATTTATTTGCTGAATTGTGGAAAAAATAGATTTTTTGGGGGGTAAATCATTTTGTTCGTGAAACTAGATAGTAGCCCTGCAATAGAATTTATTCAATTGAAAAATATTCAGGTAAGGAGGAAATGCTTGAGGTTGAAGGAAGAATAGAGAAGATATTGGGGAAAATACCGGCCTTTGATCAAGCAAAGAAGAAGATTGAAGAACAGAAAAAGGTAAAACACTTGTTAATTCCCTAGAACTATTCGTGCTCAATGCTCAAATTTCGGAAAGGGTCGCCAGTCCCTACATCATTGAATGCTGGGATTTCTTTATGAAAAAGTAATTTCATGTGATGTCGGGATCCTTTTCGGAGCTTTACATTTTTTCTTATTTCTTTATTTAATTTTATTTCTGATTTTGATTTGATCCAATTTGATTCAACAACATGGTTTAAATTAGTTTGTGTACCTCTTTAAAAAAGGGCAGCTAGGCGTTATGAGAACATAATAAAGCTGGTGGACTGTTTATGTAGCCGCTTAACACTATGCTACACTGTTGTAGTTAACGGTGAGAAGAAGTAGGGACAGAGAATAGATTCAATACATATTTCGTGACCAATGTCGAAGAGACAGTCTAAATATGTCTTTTGTCTTAAACATTGGCATAGCAATAGAAAGGTCTTAAACATTGGCATAGCAATAGAAAGGTCCCGGCTGAAGGTCAACACAACGTCCACTGCAGTGAGGACTTCAAAACTTGGATCTGATTGTGAGAGGTTCATCAAACCCCACATTTTTTATTTTATTTGATGTAATGTGATACGATTTCATTTATTAATTGATTCTGAGATTCTGAGATTCTGAGATTCTGAGATTCTGAGATTCTGAGATTCTGAGATTCTGAGATTCTGAGTTTCTGAGTTTCTGAGTTTCTGATTCTGATTCTGATTCTGATTCTGATTTTGATTCTGATTCTGATTCTGATTCTGATTCTGATTCTGATTCTTATTCTGATTCTGATTCTGATTCTGATTCTGATTCTGATTCTGATTCTGATTCTGATTCTGATTCTGATTCTGATTCTGATTCTGATTCTTCTAGACCCGCAGACNGATTCTGATTCTGATTCTGATTCTGATTCTGATTCTGATTCTGATTCTGATTCTGATTCTGATTCTGATTCTGATTCTGATTCTGATTCTGATTTGTAGAAAGAAGAGTTGGTTGACTCAGCTAAGGACCTGAAGGATCCAACAGATCCTGAACCTGAACCTCATATTGCTCAACTCTTCACCAGACCACCCAGATCAGATACCAAGGTAAGAGAGAGGACCTGGATACTAGACCCAAAAATTAAACAAATGAAGCCCGTTATCGGAAACTAAGTTTTTTGATTGGAGAAGTAAAATTTTGCAAAATCATGAAAAATCAATTTAGAAATGTTTTTCTTTGTCTCTTTACAAATATATTATACTCTCATGCTTTAAGATTAAATTCTACAAAACACCCCCCCCCCCAAAAAAAAAAAAAAAAGGAAGAAAGTTTTATAGAGTAGGCTTATTAACCAAAAACAGGGTAAAAATTTAGGATTCATACCTGTAAAAGGGAGAAACGTTTAAAGGGGGGGGGGCTGTCCCTTTGTTAACATCCCTGAGCTTTTGAATGGCGAATCTCGGGATTAATGCTTGATCCACTTTTTTTCATAATTTAGAGATTAAATATTGCTTGTTCTCCTCTTCTTATTAATCTCCAGATTGATTTTCAGATTGAGATTAAGGACATCCTATTCTAAAGTTTTCAGCTTAGATGCTTTAAATTATTTTGCACTTTTTGATCTTCTTTGTTCTAGGCTTCTGAGAGTTCTAGAACTGAACCTTTAGATCCGGCCTCGAGACCGGAGGAGGGTGAACTGAAAGAGAAGATGAGGGTGGAGGAGGACGAGGTGTCCTCTAAGGTTGAGGACAACAGTGTCAAGGATGTGACGGGGCAGGTCGAGAAGGAAACGGTATAACAATTTGTCGTTAAATGTTTCTGTAGATACAGGGTTACCCACTAAGTAAGAAACAATTCCGACCTAAAAATTGAAATAAAACGATCAAAAGTTTGCTGGCCCTTCTGGCCTCTAATTTGTTAAATTATATGATAAATTATTTAGCGACAAAACATTTATTTATAAAGTGAAATGAAAAATCTAACAAATTCCCTAGAGTCGCCTCGGAAGTCTCATTCTTTGAGGGTAACCCTGTATTTGACGGACTAAAACTACTCATTTATGTGTTTTAATTTATGTCATGTTTTTTGTCAAATTTCTTCCTCTATTGGGCACATTTTTGCTGAGAATATTTCTTTTGTACCCGTAGCCAGTAACTTTTAAATAAACGGAATACGTTAAACTCGATCTTTCAGCGCGGAGTGAAAATCCGATTTAGAACTCCTTTATCAAATATTGATCCGATGAGAAATGGGTTGAACTGGTTCGATGAGAGTTTAAATCATTCCATTTAAAAGTTCCCAGCTGAGGTACAGTAGTAGGAGATTATATCAAAACACTGAAGACAACTTTTCTATTGAAGTTTCTATTTCAAAAGACAAGAAAATAGAGTGAAGCTGTTAAATGAAAGATTTTTTCGTTTCCATGCTTTTGTGTATCACTATTCTTGCTGATTAACAGCTTGGTAGAAATAAAAATTGAAATCTAAAAGTCGTTTTCATTGTATTGATATATACGACGACGACTGTATGTTTAACTAAGAATAATATCTAGGGTGGTGTGGAAGATAAGGAGAAGATAACTCAGAAAAACGGATCCCAGCATTAATCTGAACAAAATCTTTTTTGTTCCATGCTTTTATTTTTATTATTCTTCTTAAACCTATACTCGTTCTTATATAAATTCCTGATGATTAAATGTGAAAAATATATGTTATTTAATATTTGATGCCAAGAAAACAATGTTTTATACATTGACCCATAATTATTAAATTATTAATTGATCCAAATAATTTGTTATGTTTGAGAAGCAAGAGCATTTTTATTTCATACTGAAGTCAAAGGGACCATCGTGATTTTAGGAGGAGCGTGCCCGATTCACAACAGTAATCATCTTTCAAAATCAAAACTATGAATATTTCATTCAAACTTAATCTGACAAGCTTTTTAGGGTAATTGGACATATATGTCACATAAAATTACGTTTACAGTTCCTTAAAAGGAAAAGTATTATGCTTGAATATTATGATCCTTGTGTAATGTGTAGTGTACGTGAAGGCAAGGTAATAATGCAAGGAAAGTTATTTCAGAGGTGTAAGCATCTTTTGTACTGCAGTGCACTGTCTCTGGGCGGTAATGTAAACACAAGACAGATGTCTTTTAATCCCCTCGGATACTAAACGAACACTGATGCTTCTATTCTTGTTTACAAATTCCGCCCAGAGAGAACTGGTTTCAATATGTACGCAGAGTATACGTAACTGTAATTAAATTTCCTTGCATTACAATCTTGCGTGCAGGGATGCTTAGATATTTGTAATTGATCAAAGCTGTTGAGGCGAGATATTATATTTAGGCCGGACTTTCTACTTCAGAGTGTCCCACATCATTTCGGATCGTTATGGCTCAAAATTCCGATTTCCGAAGAAGGAATCCCGTAAAAAAACTGTATAAGCCATTTAAAAAAATTAGCACCCAGAATAAAACAGGTTTTTGAGCATCAAGTGCGTATTTCAGAATCTTTGTGAAGAAACAATCTCTAGAACTGACGAGGGTCAACCCAGACCGAAATATATTTTCAATAAATGTGGAACTAACATCTACTTTTTTACTCTACAGAGGTTTGGTCCATCACCATCACTGAATTTTAGAACATCCAATATGAGCAAAGTGAAATCTAAGATACGACCAAGAATGGCTTTAAATATGCAGTCGTTGGTTCAAAAAGGTGGTAAAATTTTGCGAAAAATAGTTTTTACTTATCAAGAGATTAGAGAATCTCCCTTGGTTGAAACTTGTAAGAGTATCTCTACAGCTCATCATGCTTGAGAAGAAAATAGATATCACTCTATTTACACCACATTTTTCAGATCTGAACTGCTTAATGGTTTGAATTCTAGTTGAAACTGTGAAATGTGATGCTATAGCAACAATATTATTAAGGTTTGTTATTCCACAAGGACCACAAACCTTTTCTCTATTAAATTTATTATCACTTTTAAAGGGAGTGTTCGCGAAAAATGAAAAGGGATATGGGCTTACGGCGAAAAAATAAGCGCTTTTGATCGCTACTAGTCTTACTTCTAAATTGTTAAAAACGACTCATGCTGAAGAACGTAGAGGCCATACAAATTCAGAAAGTTTCAACATTCAACTCGGATTGTAAACCAAACAAATCATTCAGATATGACAACCAATAGTAATCGATTATTTTTCGACGCATTCGTAAATAGTTAATATTTCATAATATGTTTGATTTTGTTTTTTAAATAATATTTCGCTGGTGTTGGATTTTCGAACATTCCATTCCTGGAAAATATGAAAATGTTGTCTTCATTTTCAAAAATCCTCGAAACAGGAAAAAATGTTTTCAAAAATAACCATACCGATCATAAAAAAAAAAAAATATTACGAAATATCAACTATTCACTATATACGAAAGCGTCGAAAAATTATCGATGATTATTGATTGGAATTGTAATAATAATCAAATGTAACGTGGTACGGAAGAGGAAATAGTGGTGGCTCATGGCCGCCTGCCTTCCCCCGCTCACCCCACAAGCATGCTCGATCGCTACCGCTATCGCTATATATTGCTTATTTTCAGCAGTTAATTTACAGCGCAGCAATAGCACAGCAAAGTTAGTAAAATGGAAAAAGTATTTTAAGTATTTCTATAAACAGTATCAAAAACTATCATGTTTGCATTTTGTTCAATTTTAGGTATCTTTTGCTTTATTTTTGTTATTAATTGACAAGGTTTTGAGAATCCATATTCTCATATTTATAGCAAATAATGGGAATAAAAGGAAAAGATAAGATTTAAATAAAACCTGTTCTGAAAAGGCTGCAGTTATACATTAAACAAATACTTTTGTATGTTTGTGTTCAACCACAAATTCATATAGTGCCTACTAGGCGAACTAGGCTATTCGACCGTACTCACCGGACCGGACCGCCTGGCGAGAAACAAAATGGCATAATTTGGCATCGTCATATCAGGATTTAGGAACAGTACAGTCGTAAACTCTACAGAAGCTTGTTTTCCCCCTGTGATGAGAACAAAAATTGGCATTAACGGCATCCACCTGACAGGATTTAGTAACAATACTACACTCGATACACATCACTAAAATTCGACTAATCCACCTGTTCAAACTGAAAAGGAGCATCCAGGGCATCCTGCTATTAGGATATCAGAACAGTGCTGCTGTCACACTCAATTTGATCCATCAATCAACTTTAAAGTCAGGATTTGGGTTTATAACTTCCCAGAGCATTTAAGGAGTTCAGTTATTAGGATTTAGGAACACTAGTGGAACATTATGCATTATACATTATACATCATGCATGACTGGGGTCCCACGAAACAAGTGCAGTCAGAGAAGCTTTGAAGGTCGTCCTTGCATTTCTAAAATGTGGTCTGCCTTTTTTGTGCTTTCAATATTATACCGAAGATTTAGCTTGCTAACTTTGTTCATATTTATATATTATTCATGAAATAAAACCAAAATTGTTGAAATTGTCGAAGTGCCAAGTGGGGGAGGGGGGAACGCCCCCCCCTTGATTAAGATTTCTTACTTTTCAAACTTTTATATTTCTATACTTGAACGTGGAAGAAAACAGGCTTATATAAAAGTGTCAGGAAAACCTAAATAGTTAACTTCTACATTCATTTGAATTCAGCCGTTTTTCTTTGACGATTGTAATTATATTTTAATACACTGCAAAAATTGCTTTTAGACAAGTCACGATTATTTGTAGGGTTTCCACCATACTTTTTGCGCAAAATTATCGTAATTTTTTTGCACAAAGTAGGAGAAATGAAGTTTACAGATAGAAAGTATGGAGAACTAAAGTTTACAGATAGAATTAAAGTAGAAGAACTGGAGTTTACAGATAGAAAGTAGAAGAACTGGAGTTTACAGATAGAAAGTAGAAGAACTGGAATTTACAGATAGAAAGTAGGAGAACTGGGGTTTACAGATAGAGAGTATGAGAACTGGAGTTTACAAATAGAAAGTAAAAGAACGCAGTTTACAGATATAAAGTAGGGGAATTATTTCTGGAGTTTACAGATAGAAAGTTATAGGAGAACTGGAGTTTACAAATAAAAAGTAGGAGAACTGAAGTTACAGATAGAAAGTAGGATAGAACCAGATGTTACAGATAGAACGTAGGAGAACTAAAGTTTACTGATAGAAAATAGGAGAACTGGAGTTTACAGATAGAAAGTAGGAGAACTGGAGTTTACAGATAAAAAGTATGAGAACTGGAGTTTACAAATAAAAAGTAGGAGAACTGGAGTTTACAGATAGTAAGTATGACAACTGGAGTTTACAGATAGAATGTAGGAGAACTGGAGTCTACAGATAGAAAGTAGGAGAACTGGAGTTTACAGATAGAAAGAGGGAGATTCTAGAGTTTCAGATTTTACAGATATAAAGTAGGAAAATTAGATTTTACAGATAAAAAGTAGAAAAACTGGAGTTTATAGATAGAAAGTGGGAGAACTGGAGTTTACGGATAGAAAGTAGGAAAACTAGATTTTACAGATAAAAAGTAGAAAAACTGGAGTTCATAGATAGAAAGTGGGAGAACTGGTGTTTATACAGATAGAAAGAGGGAGAAATGGAGTTTACAGATAGAAAGTTGGAGAACCCTAATTATTTGTTAGGAAACTTTTGGACATAATTTATTTTCATACATATATTAATTTTAAGCTGAATGATTTATTTTCAAAAATTTGTATCTGTATTTGTATATATGTATATGTGTATCTCGAGTTATATACCTTTATTATAAAACAAGACATTCACATATATGTTCCCTTTGGCCGGCCAAACAGCAGGACCGAATGGGCTGACATTTTGTGGGCACTCATGGGTAGCCTGGGGGTGACATAGGCCCTTCAGCTAGTATTGTTGTATAAATCAACAATAATCATAGAATTTGAAAAATAATAAAGTTCAAATATTTTATTTAAATATTTTTATAATGATTTATTTGAATATTGCGCAGGATCAGACTTCAAATACAGGGTTACCCACAAAGGATGAGATTGTAATCATGACCTGTAATTCTCATTTAATTCCACTTCCAAGAGTCAATTAAGTCATCTGCCTTGAATATAGTCTTATGGTTTATTTAATGATTTGACAAAGCAAAAAACAAGTTTTACAGTTGCAGGAACCCTGAAAATAAGGAAACTATAATGGAACTAAAATGGAAAGCCCTAAAGATGCTCTACAACTTTTGTTTTCATGGCTTCACTCTCAGATCACTCTAAACTACTCAAAAATGGACGGCTCCATTCGGCTCGTTCGGAACCTATCAATCAATCACATACTTAAAAAATTTTTTGGTTAAATTTTTTTTTATATATGTTCTAAATACTATGAAACGTAAAAAAAAGTGAAAAAAATCGCGTTTTTTTCGTCGGCGGCCGATTTTTCGGCCGTCCATAGCCCGATGGCCGTTTTTTTATGAAAATGGAAATCCCTTAAGATCCTCTACAACTTTTGTTTTCATGGCTCCACTCTCAGATCACTTTAAACTACTCAAAAATGGCCGGCTCCATTTCGGCTCCGTTTTGGCTCCGGCTCCAAGGTTAGGTTAGGATAAATACGTGAAATCTGCTAGGATTAAGAAACATTTACAGATCTTGCACCTCCTTGCAATTTCATAATTTGTTTTTTTTTTAATATTAATTTTAGATTTTATTTTCAAAACATTTAGTTAAAGAAAATTTTTGAATTGAAGATTCTGATTCCAAAATAATTTTCCCATTTGAAAATTTGTAATTTTTAAACATTCAACTTTTGTGAAATTTCAGAAAAATGGTACAATATTGTTCGGTAATTGGTTGTAAATCAAACAACAGTTTCAAAAACCTTACATTTCATAGGTAAGAATTAATGCCATTATAAAATACATATATAGCCCTCTAACGGGGACTACAGTGGGCTAAAAAGGGGACATATAAACTTTATACAAACTAAGATGACGAGGAAGGAGGGGCAACAATGAAGATGCTCTTCGCAGAAAATGTACAGGGTTGCCCACAATCCACATAGGATAAAAATTTTATGACACTGAAAGAATTGTATTAATATCGGAATATTTTAACCCCTATCCTGATTGGGCTACTTGTGCCTAATATAGATGGGGGGGGGGGTTGTTTCTCCCCCTATGATTTTGCCCTTATAGTTGAGACAGGGTGCTCCCCCTTTCCCCATCGTGATAGGGTAAAAACCTAATAGAAATTTTACCTTGTGTGGATAAACCTGCATAAAAGTTTTATTGTTCGTTTATTCTAAATATATCTTAATTTACAGAGCGAGCAAATCTTGTAAAATTGGCAGTCCAAAAGCTGGTCGAAATTGGAGTTTCTATCGTCAGTGTGGTTTGCGATGCACCACAGGTTCAACTTTCTATGATGAAAAAACTAGGAGCAGACTTGGATCCAGAAACTGTAAAGACTAAAATTTATGAAGATATGAAAGAAAGTCCACTCCATTTTGTCCATGATATGTGTCATTGCATCAAAAATGTTCATAATGCTTGGGCTCACCTAAAACTTATTAAGAATGCTACGGTGATAACATTGATTGGAAATACATTGAAGAACTTGTGAACTTACAAAGTAAAGAACAGTTACATAGTGGTAACAAGTTGACATACAAACATATTTTTTTCAAAAATCAGATAATGAAAGTTAATTTAGCCGTGTAAGTACTTTCACAAAGAGTAGGAAGAAGGAGAGACTGAAGTTTTCATTAATAATTGGAGACTACTGGAGAGTACCGGAGGGTTCTAAATCCAGTGGAGAGAAAATTATTTCTACTGGAGAGCTTTTAAATTTTTACCAAAATATAACTTCTACCGGAGGGGTTTCTTTTCCACTGGAGTAAATTGCATTTCTAAATAGGGAGGATTTAAGTTCTTACAAAGAAAAAAATTCTACTGGGGGGGTTTTTTAATTCACTGGAGGCATGTTCTCTGTGTACTAAAAAGGTTTGAATTTTTCCCCATAGTGATTTATATTTTACCGGGTTTTCAACTATTGCTATTATAAACACTACTGGGTAATAATTTTAGCTTTTTGTTACTGATATATCTGAAAACCTGCAAAATGTAGATAATTTTTTTTTAGATTTTCCTGTTTACAACTAAAATCCAAGACAGACAAGTAATGTATAAAAATACATCTAAAATGCTTTTGTAAGATATGAATCACTTTGGGGAAAAATTCAAACCTGTTTTTCTACACAATCTAATCCCTCCAATGAATTAAAAAAAAAACCTCCGGTAGAATTATCAATTTAGGTTCAAATTCCAAGGCTCCCTGATATGAATAGTTTGTACTCCAGTGGAATAGAAACCCCTCCGGTAGAATTTATATTTTGGTAAAAATTTAAAAGCTCTCCAGTAGAAGTAATTTTCTCTCCACTGAATTTAGAACCCTCCGGTACTCTCCAGTAGTCTCCAATTATTATTGAAAACTTCAGTCTCTCAGGAAGAAGTCTTAAATTTTGCAGAGAAGTTTTAAAACTTCCTCAGTTTGCCGGCTCTGAAGCAACTGAAGAGTTTTGCTACTTCATGAACAATATTTTTGACCTCCTGAACAGTAGATATCCTACTTATAACTGGCATCTGTCTCCTTTAAGTGCTCTTAAACCAAGTACCAATATATGAACTAGGATTCAGCCATGGATAAATTAAATGTAAAAATTGGTTGAAAACTATATAATAGAACGGAAAGCAGACAGAAATTTACATATAAACTATAATTAAGTACGTAAGAGCTGCTAAATTTTGAAAAAAAATGGAAAAGAGAAAAAATGTTTTCTTGAAAATCTTGCAACTTGCAAGTTAAATTTTTAACTAACTTAAAATCAACATACTATAAACTAAAATTTTTGAGAAAATAATTTCTTTTTCGAAATATTTTCGCTGAAAAAAAGACAAAAAATATTAAATCTTAAAAACAATAGTAGCTTTTAAAAAATCATTTTTCTTTTTCTTTTGTAAAATATATTTATTTAAATTCTGTATTAGTTTCTATTTTTGGCTCTAGGAAATAGGAATCCATTTTTAATGTCAAAAAGGCTTTTTAATTACTTTCATGTTCTTGTTACTTTTATAGCGATTAGCGGCTTCAAAAATAAAAATAAAACACTCAAAAATCTCAAAATGTTAATGTTTCAAGCCAACACTTCCATGTGATATGTATTTTATATGTATTTTTGCCTTAGAAATTCGTTTTTGAGGTCATTTAATGCTTTGTGACCATTCTGGATGGCTTAACACTATTATAGCGGCTTCAAAAATCTCAAAATATTTATGTTTCCGCTTCACGTGTGATATGTCTAAAGCATGGTTTCTTTACTCCAGAGGCCAAACATACGTTTTAGTTTAATTTGTTGGACTTCAGGCCTCAGAAATCTATCATTTAGGTCAAAACTGCCCTTTAATCAATCGATCAGAATGTTTTTGTACAAATGCTTTTCTCCCACATACCCCTGTTCCATATCGAAACTTGGAAGAACTGTCTCAAACCTGAAAATGGATTTCTGGGGACATGAAGCCGCCATAGCCATCAAATTAGTCACTGCTATAATTGTCAAAAATTGTTCCTTTTGTTTAGAAAAAAGTTTGATCATCATCTTTTCGGCTGAAGTCCATGGACAAAAAGTAAATGCCCCCCCCCCCCTCCATGACATATTTGTGTTTACGCCCCTAAACCAACCCTTTAAAGAGAATGTGTGTAGAATCCTCTTGTCCTCTTTCGGAAATCCATATAATCAATAGTCAGAGAGAAAAAAATAAGTATGTCAACGATCTTTATCGGCAAATCCTTAAATCATTGAGATGGTATACCTCTTTAAACTGATGTAATAAATCTATAAATTATAATTATTTGAAATTAGATTAAATGTATTCCAAAGCATGCTTATAATGCTTAAATATATTGCTTGGTACCTAGTCCGCATAATCAATCTATAAAATTAAACAGTTTTTGAAACTAAGTGCTTTAATACAGTGGATTCAGTCTTATTAAATACTAGCTGAAGTGACTGGCGTTGCCCGTGGAATTTTAAAACCTGGAGTACTCAAGGGTTCCCTCAAAAATTGTCAGTAAATTAGGTTCAACCGTTTGGCCAGCTATATTTTACATACATGTATGTATATATTATATACATACAAATATATATATATATGAGCGAACAGCTTTATTATATAGAAGGGCCCCTTTGATCTCTTGATCCCTTTGATCTCTTGTCCACTGTGCTATATTTCTTCTCAAAATTTTAACCATTTCCCAAAAATGTTAGATTTTGAAAGTATAGTCAAAAAAACTTGGCAATGTAAGAAAATTTTCATAGAAATTATTCAGTTTACTTTTATAAAAAAAGAAATATCAAGTTTCTTTATTAAATGATTTGCGCATTTATACAGCAGAGACAATCGATAATTAGATAGAAATATAAATAGACAAATAGATGGATAGACAAGTAGATATATATACAAATAGAAAGATAGATAGATACATAGATAGATAAATAAATAGATAGATAGATAGAAAGATAAATATATATATAAATATAGATTTGATAAATAAATATAGATTAAATAGATAGATAGATAGATAGATAGATAGATAGATAGATAGATAGATAGATAGATAGATAGATAACATAGGTCTACCAAGTACCAATATATGAACTAGGATTCAGCCATCTTAATCAGTCAGTCTTTACTACATAGGTCTACAAAGTACCAATATATGAACTAGGATTCAGCCATCTAATCAGTCAGTCTTTACTACACAGGTCTACCAAGTACCAATATATGAACTAGGATTCAGCCATCTTTGGGAGCTTGCAACCTTTGGATCAATGTGCACTAAAGATAAAAATAAAATTATTTCATTTCTCTCCAATTTTAACATAAACAAATTTTCTTAAATGCTTTTGTTCGATGTGCATTGTGCGTCCCAATTATGCTGTTAATTGGCAAAAATGTTCAGAAAGAAGTCAGATTATGAGCGGCCAAGGTTGTTCAGAAAACAAACTCCTAAGTGGCGCGGGGGATCACCAAAATCCTTGAAATCAGAGGAACCAGATGAGGTAATTTTAGAATAAGTTTAAATACATGTAGGGGTAGACGTTTATGTCAATACAATTAAGACGACTTTTCTATTTAAGTTTTTATTTCTAACAAGATTTTTCAAATAACAAGCTTAAAATAAAGCCTAAAAAGCTGATATTTACAGCTTCTTTAATTTCCAGGTTTATTTGTATCCACGCTGCTTTAAAGCTTGGTAGAAATCTATAATAGAAATCGAAAGTAGCTCAACCGAATGGGCTGAAATGTTTTGAGGGAAGCTTTGAGTACCCAAGGGTTAACATAGGATAAACAAATTATAATTTTTGCTTTAAATAAAAAAAAATGAAATCTAATTTTATTTTTCAAAAAAAAAGTTTTTTTAATTAAAAAAATCCACGGGCAACGCCGGGCGCTTCAGTCAGTAACAAATGTTTTGCAAACTATAACAAAATACATAATTATCTTATCTATGAAGAGGCGAGAAGTATTTTTTGATTTAAGCATTAAATTTTGCGTAAAAAAATTGTTCGACAGTCAAATAAATGTTTATTTCAAAATTTGTTTAACGGATCAAAAAAATTAAACCTGAAAAAATCGTTTGAAATTATCGGAAAAAATCCTAAATTTATTTAAATGTGCTTTTGTTTGTGAAAGTTTCGTTTTTTACCGATATTATTTTGTAAATTTTAGCGGGTTGCAGTTCCAATTTGAAACAGGATTTCATCATGTCAATCAAGAATTTATTTTTTGGAAAATAATTCCTTTATAGGGTTTAATATATAATTGTTTAGTTTTTCAAAGAGAATTTTAAAAAAACTAAAAAAGACTATGAACTAAAAATAAGGAGCGCGCAAGATGAAATGACATTCCTCTTTCAACATGCATCTTAATGACGAGATCTACAAATCATTATCATTCCTTTAACTTTTGTTGAAATAACCCAGAACACAGAACTGATGTCATAGTTTTAAGTGACTACTATTAAAGAAACATGCCATATTCTGATCATTTCTCTATTGCTTCTGAAGAATAACTGCACTTGTTACTTTTGCGCAGAAACCACAAAAGGAAAGAAAAATACAATTTTTAAAAACAAAAAGAAAGATACTTAATTCATACTTAATCAGGCAAAACTTTGCAGGGTACCGTTCTTAATCAAACATGCCACTTCATCAAGAGAGATCACTTGAAATTGCATTTACAGTCCCTTAAAATCTAATTTTATTGCAAAACATGTAACCCGTTCTGACAGAAATCTATTAGCACTAGTGTATTGGTTATTAGGAAAAATACATTATAAATATCTTGAAATTAAACTAAACAAGTTTTTGTTCATTACAAAACGTTTATGTAAACTTGAAACCTGGAGATATTTTGATAATACAGAGGGACCCATAATAACTGTAGAAAAGGAAGACGAGTGTTAGACTCATGTTGTAATTTTAAATTCTCCAATGAATATGAAACACAGCAACTGTGCAGTGCACATAAAACCACTAAACTTTAAAAATCAAATTTCAAGCCATGCTAGAAATTTTTTTTGCTTTGATTAATTGAATTCATTAAATAAACGGAATCCCTTGATTTAACTGAATTTACTTGATTAACTGAATTCCCTTGATTTAACTGAATTTACTTGATTAACTGAATTACCTTGATTTAACTGAATTTACTTGATTCACTGAATTCCCTTGATTTAACTGAATTTACTTGATTAACTGAATTCCCTTGTGAATTTACTTGATTCACTGAATTCCCTTGATTTAACTGAATTTACTTGATTAACTAAATACCCTTGATTTAACTGAATTTACTTAATTAACTGAATTCCCTTGATTTAGCTGAATTTACTTGATTAACTGAATTCTCTTGATTAACTGAATTCCCTTGTTTAACTGAATTTACTTAATTAACCGAATTCCCTTGATTTAACTGAATATACTTGATTAACTAAATTCCCTTGATTTAACTGAATTTACTTGATTAACTGAGTTCCCCTGATTAACTGAATTCTCTTGATTAACTGAATTCCCTTGATTAACTGGATTCCCTTGATAAACCGAATTTCTTTGATTAACTAAATTCCCTTGATCAACTGAATTCCCTTGATTAACTGAATTCCCTTGATTAACTGAATTCCCCTAATTAAATAAATTTTCTTAATTAACTGGATTCCCTTGATAAACTGAATTTCTTTGATTAACTAAATTCCCTTGATTAACTGAATTCCCTTGATTAACTGAATTTACTTGATTAACTGAGTATCCTTGATTACCCTAATTTATTTAATTAACTGAATTCCCTTTGTTAACTAAATTCCTTTAATAAACTGAAAAACTGTTTAAAAACTGAATTTACTTGAACAACTTAATATTTATGATAATAAACATTTAAGGATTAAAAAAAATAAATGATAAAAAGGTTTTTTTTATTATTTTTATAATGTGACAAAATAACTGCTGGAAATCTTCCAATCGTTACAAACTTGTTCTAAATCATGATTTTCATGCAAGAAGTAAGGAAAGTACAAATTAAAACATGTCAAACATTTTAGCATATATTGGCTTTAATCCCGTCCTGTACTTCAACCTTACCCCCCCCCCCTTCCCATCCCTTTCCTTTACAAACTGATATTTCAGAGCCGAAATTGGACAAATTATTTTGTCAGTTTTTTCAAATAAAGCTTGCTTTGTTTAGATCTGATTGTTTGGTTCTAGGCTTATAATTATATATCCTTGTTATATCTGTACACCTTGGTTGCACTATACACAGGATACCCCCCCCCCATATCTCCAGTTCTGCACCTCATCCAGGCAGTTTAGTTTAAGGCATTCATCACAAAGCAACTGCATAAAATATTACACATTTTATACAATAGGTAATATATTTCTCAATATTTGTGACACCAGCAATTCAGGATGCTTCCCGATTCTCTTTTATTTTGCATTTTTATTATATTTTCGTAAATTATTTATAAATATAAAGTTGCTATCTCTGTTTGTCTTTCTGTTTGTTTGTCCGATTATAATTCAGGGATCCCTGGACCGATTTGCCTCAAATTTTGATTCGACATCCGCTTTTGTGTATACATTACCTCCCAGAGACAGTACACTGCAGTACAAAAGATGCGTACATTATAACCATGAATAGATGTTCTAATTTTAATTACTTTGATAGATGTTCTAATTTTATTAATTAGAGAATTGATCTAATTTTATGGATAAATGTTCTAATTTTTATTAATTGGATGGATGTTCTAATTTTTATTAATTGGATGGATGTTCTAATTTTTACTAATTGGATGAATGTTCTAATTTTTATTAATTGGATGGATGTTCTAATTTTTATTAATTGGATGGATGTTCTAATTTTTATTAATTGGATGAATGTTCTAATTTTTATTAATTGGATGGATGTTCTAATTTTTATTAATTGGATGAATGTTCTAATTTTTATTAATGAGATGGATGTTCTAATTTTTATTAATTGGATAAATGTTCTAATTTTTTATTGATTAATTTTCAAAATTTTGCAATTATGTTTTAAAAATAAAACATCTTAAAATTTTTGTTTATTTACTCGCGCCGAAACAAACATTAGATGAATTATACCGTTGAATAATAGAGCCTTTCCATAATTGAAAAATAATTGTAAATTTTAACAAATAATTCCACGGAAATCTTGCTCAATAATATTTTGATTCAAGCTCAAATCTGGAAATTCAATTGAAATAAATTTTAAACTATTTGAATCGATTTAAATATGTTTGAGGATAAGGTGTACACCCAAAAATACTCAAAAAATACATTAAATATTTTAAACCTTGAAAATCTATATGCAATATTTGTTAACATTTATTATTGTATTTTTTTAGCGGTAGGAGATATCATAATCATAAAAATTATTAGTTCTTTAGGCAATTTTGAACATTTTTTTCGATACCTCTGGTAATGGCGACAATTGATTTCAGATTCATCATAAAAACTAAGCAACACTAAAAATGTAAATATTGAAGAAGTTTCAAACTAATTACAATAATTAATATTTAATGGGTTCACACGATGCTGATATTTAAACTTATTACAATAATTAATGTTTAATGGGTTCCACACGATGATGATATTTAAACTTATTACAATAATTAATGTTTAATAGGTTCACACGATGCTGATATTTAAACTTATTACAATAATTAATGTTCAATGGGTTCCACACGATGATGATATTTAAACTTATTACAATAATTAATGTTTAATGGGTTCCACACGATGATGATATTTAAACTTATTACAATAATTAATGTTAGTTACCCTTAAACCTTTTTAAGCAAAAATCCTTTTTGTCGATATAAAAAATTTATAATTTTCAACTTTGTGTCTCGCAGATTTATACAACAGAAACAAGGAAATATTTCAACAGAATTAATCTCTTTTAAGCAACAAAAACGGCAATGTGTTTCTAATCATTACTCAGGTCTCAGATAAAGGTTAAAGGGGTCCGTTGTGAATCGAACATGCACTGTATGTATCGTGGTATGTACATTGTACAGAGTGCCCTAATAAACATGGGAATTGAGAGACGACTTGAATATCGTCTTTAATTTCCGATAATTCATAAATGACATGAATTGTGCATCAAAAAATATTGAACGTCTAATGAGCTTTTCAAAATGTGGTCTACCTTCTTTGTATCTTTAAAATTGACGGAGATATTAAACATTTGAAAAGTTTTTTTTTTACTTTAACCTGGATAAATTTCCTAATATCTCCTTCAATTTTGAAGGTGAAAAAATGGTAGACCACATTTTGGGAATCCCGAGACATTCTAATTTTAGGTGTTAAATGTTCTAACTGTGATACTACAAAATTATATTTACGAAACAATCCCGCTTGGAACAAAAGAGATATAGAAGTCGTCATTTAATTCCCATGTTTATTGGGACACCCTGTAGTTGGAGAGTCGCTTTTACTTTTATTTGTTTAGATAAATAAACTAGAAGGAAAGATAACTAGACAACCTGTTGAAGAAGGAGAAGAAGGGTATAAAGAAATGGTCCCGGAGAGGGAAATGAACAAGATGAAGGAGAAGGAGGAGAAGGAGAGGAATGAGGAGAAGGAGGGGGAGGCGGAGAAGGTGGAAAAAGGGGAAGGGGAAACTAGTGAAAGTTCTGTCATATCTCGAGAAAGACGATCGTCCTCTCCAGTCAATATCGTGGTAATAATATTATTATTATTATTTTCATTATTATTATTTTCACTATTATTATTATTTTCATTACAATTATTTTACTACAGTGAATGCCAGACATATGAATACAGAACAAGAGTTTTTTATAATGTCGTATTACATATTTAAGATCAAATGCCGCGGAAAGATGAGTTAAATAATATTTCATATTTCAGGGCTACTGATTTACCTTGAATTAAAAATAAAAAGAAGTTTCTTTACAATTATCAAAAAACTTATGACGGTGTCTATATATATATATATTTGGGATTCACTGTATGATTATTTTAATTATTATTATTTTCATTATTTTGATTAGTATTCTTATTATTTTCTAATTGTTTAGGTTGTTGAGAACAATACATCAATATTAAGACGACCTTCAATAATTAAATTTCCTCTCCCTGATCATATGGAGCACCATCCTAGAATGGAAAAACGGTAAAATGAAATTAGAATTACTAGACAGGCGAAGGTTTGATAAAATTAAATTTATCCAGTTACAGGTATCAGAAATTCAAATTTTCTTCTCAAAAGCTCTATAATAATTGTATTTATGATTGAAAACATATTTTCTTGCAATTTAGTTTAGCTTGATTTGATATAAATACTAGTTTGAATTTGGTTAGATTTTTCTTGTTCCATTGTTCCATTCTACAATTCTAGAATTTCAAGTTTTCATTTTTTTAAATCTTTTTCATTCCACTTTCTATTCATTGGTTCTGTGCTTCGAAGATCGTAACATACGCATAAATTCTTTGTTCTTTTTTCCTTTGTTAAACTTAAGATAAAATGGTTTGGTAACCATGGGATCACTTTGTTTTAATACAACAAACTCCCCTCATAACCCCCCCCCCTTCCCGAATTTCCCCCTAATTTCTGGTTTCGCGGGTTTTCAATCAACCTTTGGAACACAAACTTGAAGTATTATTTTTTTTTGCATCATATCGGACTAGTGATGAAAAGGTTTTCGGAAAAAGTCTAGAATGAGAATGGGAAAAATAAGAAATTTCTTTAACGAACAGAAAAAAAGTTGAAGTTTTTTGATGAGAATTGCAAATAATGTACATTGTGCACAGAGTTGAATCATTCTTATGAATCGATAATTTTCGAATTTTTCTACAAAAAAAAACATTTTATTTATACCATGTGTCCCAGTTTTTGCCCTGTAAATTTCAGCCAAAAAGCGGTAATGGGGCGCGGACCTCTCTTTTATTCATATTACAGTGACAGAATACACTGTATAGAAAACGTGCAAGAACTTTAAATTTTATAAGATGTTGGTTGGTTCAGGTCGTACAGGGCGCTTCTATAGAGTTCTAGTTAATTGAACTCGGATAAGCTAGTTTGCTTGAATAATCAATATGCCCGGGACAAAGTCGTTTTTCCTGGGGGCCTGGAGGAGGGTCTTTTCCGGGGGGCCAGGAGGAAGAAAACCCGACAGGGGGTTGTGGAATCGCCCCCTCCCCACACCACCGGGATAGGGTTTATAAAAAAACTATAGGGTTAAATAAGGATTAGGAGTCCGTGATAAACATTCAAAATTGATTAATAAATAAAACTAAATAATTTTTATTGATAGAATTAAACAGAACATGTGCAGATTGGTAATTATATATTTTTTTTGGATAATTTACCCCTTAATTGAAATGTCTGAACAATCCCTTTTTAATCTGTTAATTTCAGGAACAGTGTAACATTCATTGATGAACCTGATCTTATTCCTGATCTTTTACCATCATCAGCTGCAGTTCATGAGAGTACACCTATATATCTCTCAGGTACAGTACAGTTCATGAGAGTACACCTATATATCTATCAGGTACAGTACAGTTCATGAGAGTACACCTATATATCTATCAGGCACAGTACAGTTCATGAGAGTACACCTATATATCTATCAGGTACAGTACAGTTTATGAGAGTACACCTATATATCTATCAGGTACAGTACAGTTCATGAGAGTACACCTATTTATCTATCAGTTACAGTACAGTTCATGAGAGGACACGTATATATCTATCAGGTACAGTACAGTTTATGAGAGTACACCTATATATCTATCAAATACAGTACAGTTCATGAGAGTACACCTATATATCTATCAGGTACAGTGCAGTTCATGAGAGTACACCTATATATCTATCAGGTACAGTACAGTTTATGAGAGTACACCTATATAGCTATCAGGTACAGTACAGTTCATGAGAGTACACGTATATATCTATCAGGTACAGACTGTACATGAGAATACACTTATATATTCAAAGAATTATAATGTAAAGGTAGCTATTTCAGAGGTGTACGTATTTTTTATACTGCAGTGTACTGTCTCTGGGCTGTAAAGTAAACAGAAGACCGATGACACAGCATGACATGGGATCCAACTTTCACATAAAAAAATCAATAAAATATTCTGCGGGCAAAAGAAACTATTATGTGAATTATCAAAATTATCAAAATTAAATGCTTTTATCCTCCTCGGATACTATAAGAGGAACACTGTTGCATCTATTATTTCAATATGTACGCAGAGAATACGCAACGGCAATTAATGTTCCTTGCCTTATTACCTTGTATTTATCTATCAGGTACAGTATAGTACATGAGAGTACTGATATATATCTATCAAGTACAGTACATGAGTGTAAACATACCTATCTATCAGGTACAGTATATATAGTACATGAGAGTACACCTATCTATCTATCAGGTACAGTAGAGTACGTGAGAGTACATCTTTCTCTCTATTAGGTACAGTAAAGTACATGAGAGTACACCTATCTATCTATCAATAACAGCAAATGAAGAAGTTTAAATTAGAAACTTTGATTTATCAAAGTACACAGTCATACTCTGGCAATAAGAAAAAAAACTTGTACAGTGTCTCTAAAAACTGAAGAAGACAAACGGAACAGTACGCCAGAATGAGACTGAGTCCCATTTTCGTTCACGTTCTTGAACGACCCATTTTTGTAGATTTTTCAATCGTTCAAAAAAAATGTTGTTCGGTCAGAAAAATCGTTCGTTCAGTAAAATCTTTTCTTCAATAAAATCGTTTGTTTATTAAAAACAATCGGCCATTAAAAGGTTTGTTAAAAGTCGTTCGTTTAGTTAAAAAACTATCGTTATTTTTTAAATCTTTGGGAATTTTTGTTCGTTAGGAAAAAAGCGATTGTTTTTTAAGTTCGTTCTAAAGATTTTAACGTTTTTAATTGTTTTTCAATCTTTTTTTAAAAAAACTATATTCTTTTAATTTCTCATGAACGATTCATTTCGTTCGTCCATTGGTCGGTTTTTTTTCTGAACGACGCCCTTTTTCACGATAAATTTCGTTTGTTATAAAAAGCGATGCCCATATCTACCTTCCAATGGGATTAAATGTGTAAAATAGTTGTTTTTCAAGATGTGAAACTAATTAATTGCTCATGTTTTTTTGTTACTGTTTAGATCAAGAAATTCAACCTCCTGTAATACTGGCAACTGAAGCGAAGGAAACAAACAAAATATTCTTTTTTGGAACTGAACCCGAACCTGAACCTGAACCTGAACCTGAACCTGAACCTAAACCTGAACCTGAACCTAAACCGAAACATAATTGCAACTCTTTTGAAGAAGATGATAAGACATTTACAGATTTAAGGTCAAATATTATTTTATTTGAAAATTTACCATCAAAAGATATTTAAATATACAAAGCACATAGATTCAGCCTGCTTATAAACAGTCTCATCAATTTTTAAGACAGGGTTGATTTTAAAGTGTTGCAACACCTTGGGCTTAAATTTTTCTGTATCTATTTGCATGTTAATTTTAGGACTATCATGTAATTGTTGTTGCTTTGGTTTTAATGAAGTAATTGGCAAAATTCTCATCGATTTTTGCTTGAGAAATCACAGTGAAAGAGTTACCACCAAAAGAAAAATATTCAAGAACTTTTTATCTTTGTTCTAATTTATTGACCATCATTACCCGACCAACCTTACTTTTAGTTTTCTGGTGGTAAGCATAACATATATAAGGAACTGTAAGCGTAATTTCAAGTTACCTTCCATTTAAAGAGGGGTATATGCTCGATTCACGACAGTACCCTTTTAAACCTTAATCTAATCAACAATGAGGAAGATAAAATATTTTAATTTCTAGCTTGAAAAGGGCTTATTTCTGTTAATAATTCTTCATTTCTTCTGAAACAAGAAATGCGAAAGTGTAAATAATTTGTCTTCAAAACATGGATTGTCCAATTCATATTTAACCAGACAATACTTTGAAACAGACATGCCACCCTATTAACGTTGCATTGAAGGGTAAATTAAAATTATAGCTTTTAGTTCCTTTAAAATATTTTGATTTGGTGTCGTGTAGGGTTTTAATGAGAAGTTGGAAGTTGGTGATTGGGATTTTTATTTTTAATCTTTATTTTTACTTACTAGGCTCTTAGGTCGCTTTGTGACCATCTTCTTTTTGAATGTTTTCTCTTTGTTTACATCGTAAAACAAAAACAAACAAAATATTTCGCGGATTTTATAAAAAAAATTTCGTGGATTTTCAAAAACCGAATTTTGTTAAAGGCAAATTTTGGAAAATTCGATCATCCATAAAGCTTTCCTTGGGTTATGTGAGGTCCCACACAAAATTTGGGCCAGATAGGTTTAGCCGTTTATTGGATACAAACAAACAAACACCCAGACAAGCAAAGTACATCTATACCGACTGGATAGATTAATGGTCTTCTATTAAAATGCAACTAAGCTAAAATTGTAATTTTGAATAGCAAATAGGATTTTTAGCAAGAGCTGATGTCGTATCTTTTTTTAAATCTTTTGTTTTGTATTGACCAAAGTCAAAACTGTACAGTTTCAGTTTTTTATGTGTTTGTAAATCTATGTGCACTACAAACATTGATATTTTTCTATTTCTTAAAAGACTGCAGTATTCATAACTTCAAGTAACTCTCCGGTTTTAGGGTGTAATGTTAGATCAAGAACAAATAAGCAATCCATGTTTAAATCCTTAAAAATTTATTATTTTCAATCGTGGGGTCATCCAAATTATTAATCTTAAAAATATTTAAAGAAAACAGTTGTGAATCGGGAATGCCCCCTTTTTTGTTTGTTTTTAATGGAAGGTTACGCAATATCATTAACAGTCCCTTTAATAGGTTGGTAACGGATGGCGAGATTTCTAAGCTCTCTTCAACCCTTGGAACACTTAAGCTAAAAAAGGTAGTTATAAAAAGATTTAGATTTTTCTTTTATAATGATCTTTTCACAATTGGATTAATGTACAGGGTGTCCCAATAAACATGGGAATTAAATGACGACTTCTATATCTTCTTTGTTCCATGTGGGATTATTTCGTAAACATAATTTTCTAGTATCACAACTAAAACATTTAACACCGAAAACTGCTATTCCTGGGATTTCCAAAATGTGGTCTACCATTTTTTTACCTTCAAAATTGACGGAGATATTAGGAGATTCCAGATTCAAGTTCATTAAAACTCAAATGTTTAATATCTCCATAATGCTTAAAGATACTAAGAAGGTAGACCTCATTTTGGACAGCTTTTTTGATGCACTTTATGCCATTTATCAACTATCGGAAATCAAAGACGATATTCAAGTCGCCTCTCAATTCCTATGTTGTTGGGACACCCTATATCATGTATGACAAGTTAAACCGCTCATGCAGTCAATCTGTGAAGGAAAGAGTATCAAATACCTACCAAGCAAGTTTTTTTATCCAGACATGAAATTTAGAATAATTTGTTGCTTGACATATAAATTGAAGTTGAGTTTAAAGGTTTTATAGGAAACAGGCTTGAATACTCTCTGAATTTACAAGTATCAAAAATTTTCCTTTTAAAAACTATTAAACTTTGCCAGTTTGTTGTTTATCAGAGACTGGTATAAAACAAAAGTTTTTTTGTATATCTTTGTGTAAGCAATACTGATAAAATGAAGAAAAAAAACAAATTGCAAGTTTTCTTTTAACAAAATTTTCTAAATGTCATTTTATACTTCCAATTGAATCTATTTGAGAAATGTGAAAGAATATTGTTTACGAGAATCAACGCTCAAATGCTTGGCTAAGAAAATCTAGTTAACAAATAGTTCTAACAATTGTTTCAATTATCTGAAAAAACCCATATTAGATGAGGAAAGACTTGAATGATCAGTTTGATGCGGAGCTAGTGGATCCTCCTGAAGCTCCGAACCCCACACCTTTCGGCACCCCAGCTCCGCCATCTTTTTTTGATAAATTCGTGTCAGCTGATTGATACAATTCTTTGTCCGCCATGTTGAATTTTGATAAAAAAGGTTTTGTTTTCAAACTGATTCATTTTTTCATGCTTTAAGCAAGATTGTGACTTAAATACAATTTTATACAGCTGCAACTTTTTATAAAAACTTGACAACAATTTTACAGCAAGTTTATCAATAATCTATAATATTAGAACCACTCTTTCCTTCTTATTAATTTTCATGCATTTAGGCAGTAAACATTAAATATATTTCTTTAAATGTATTTTTAAGTTTTATGTTTGCCTTAAAAACGTATGCATTTATGAAATATACTCTAAAACTTATAGAACAAATGTACAATATTTGTACACCATTAATGCATAATCTAATAATGATTGACCCCTTTTCGATCCAAAATGAAAATTTTGATTTATTTAATTTCTTATTTGAAATAATTTTTCAACCGTTTCTATTGTATTTTTAAGTTTTACATTTGCCTTAAAAACGTACGCATTTCTAAAATCCTCTAAAATTTAAAGAACAATATAATCTAATAATGATTGACCTCCCCCCCCCTTTCGATCCAAAATCAAAATTTTCTTTTTGTTTTATTTTATTTCTTATACAATATTTGTAACAGCTTCGATTGTATTATAAATTATGATCATGAAAACAGTTCATTAATTATAGATAAAAGGGATTCTAATAATTTTTGTCAAATTGTCACTATTCAATGTTCTAATTTTTATGTTCATAAAAGGAAAAAACTTATTTTTCCTTTCTCAAAAGAAAATTGCATTAAAAATCTTTTATTTAAATTTTCATGTGTATTGTATTCAAACATGGTAAAATTTAAATTTTATAAATAATACATATTTAAAATATACAAATATATTAGCAATACATATTTACGTTGATTTAATATTGAATTTAATCATAGAATAATTTGATTTTTAAGAAAGGTGCGCTGTCACAGCTAATGTTTAGTCCATGGTGGCAGAGGCCTCCTCTCTAGTATGAATAGGAACAGATCTACTGCTAGGTTTTGGTTTCTCCAAAGGCTAGAAAATATGTAATCTTAAAAAGACAAATTTTGAATTTTGAACGATTTCACGTTAGTCTTTCTTCAGAATTGGGAATTTTGTAGAATACATATTGCGATTTTAGTTCATTGTTCGTTTTTGAAATTGGGAGGTTTAATACGGTCTTTTGAATTATTGAACGTTTTGTTTTTGGGCGTTTTATTATTAGGCGTTTTGTATCCATTAAATAATACCTTTCTATCTACAGTAATAGTCAGAATTCCATCCTAAAACATTACAAACTATAGTTTCAAACATTTTTCTTTTTTCTTTTAACTCCTATCCTCCCCCGATGGTTTTTTCATTTCAACCTAAAAACTTCTTCACTTTGTCAACTCCATGTAGTTGTGAACAAATTAAGAGATTTTTTTGTGCATAGGGTAGGGTGGAAACCCGTTTAATGGCAGGTCGGTGTTTAAAAAAATCAAAATTTATCTATTAAAAAGCTCTTGAAAAACGGATGTAACAACATGTGTCCAATGTTAATATTATTCAAAAATAGAAATAATTATTTTTCAACATTTTTCTGACGAACCTTTTGAACTTTTTAAAAATCTTCCTTGAACCCTAACAATTAAAAATACAGGTTAATTTTTTTTAATGAGCTGGCCTTGACAAGTTGGGTTAAGAAATGTATCCCATTCCTTTATGTCAGCTCTAAAGGCAAAATGATAGGAACCCCAATTTATATAAGACAAAACTAACCGATAAGGGATTAAGCACTCATTTTTTACCAGAATTTGTAACTTTTCTTTTCTGTTCATTTTGATTTGAAAAAATTAATGACGGATACAAAAGTAAAATTAAATAGCAGAAAAAGTTGAACATTTTCTATTTGGTACTCTTAGTCTTATGTTGGGTTTGGATTAAATAATATTTTAGAATTAACCATTTCTTACATTAATGTTAGATCACAAATCACAATGTTTTTGATTTTATTCTGATACAACGCAGACATACTTACTTAGCTCAAGTTAGTTTTTTGTACCAAGTGAAACTCTAAATAACCCAGGAGGTGGATTCTCATTTGAACTACTGCCGTTTGAACTATGGTACGTTTGAACTATTGTTCGTTTGAACTATTGTTCATTTGAACTACTGACATGACGTCATATCCTGTAGTTTAAATCAAAGCATTTCTTGCTCATTTGAACTATTTTTCTACCCCAATTCAGTTTTAAAATTCTTTTTATAATCTTCATAAAGTTATATTCATGACAATTAATTAGATAAACATTACACAGAATGAACATAAAAATAGTTCAAATGAACATAAAAATAGTTCAAATGAACATAAAATAGTTTAAATGGGACTAAAAAATAGTTCAAATGGACAAAAAAAATAGGTTAGGTTAGGTTAGGTTAGGTTAGGTTAGGTTAGGTTAGATAAAAAATAGTTCAAATTAAACTATTTTTTTGTTCATTTGAACTATTTTTTTTTGTCCATTTGAACTATTTTTATGTTCATTTGAACTATTTTTTTTGTCCATTTGAACTATTTTTATGTTCATTTGAACTATTTTTTTTGTTCATTTGAACTATTTTTTTTTCATTTGAACTATTTTTATGTTCATTTGAACTATTTTTTGTTTATTTCATTAATAATATTTTAATAGTTCAAATGAACTGAAAAATAGTTCAAATGAGCAATATGTTTACTCGTTTGAACTATTGTTCATTTAAACTACTCACGTGGTCCCACGTGCAGTAGTTGAAATGAACAATAGTTCAAATGAACAATAGTTCAAACGGCAGTAGTCCAAATAAGATAGCACCAACCCAGGATAATGTAAATTGATTGATGACCTTAAATATCGTCTTCATGACCTTAGAAAATAGTTTGCGGCATCCAACATAGGAATCCTGATTTTAGCAATGTTCTGATAGGAAAAAATAATTACAGAATAGCCCTAATCCCATCATTTCCTAAATGTAATATATTATTACGCTAAACCAACTAAATTTAGGTATGTCTGAGTTATTTTGAAATAAAAGAAGAAAGATGTATATTGTAACTATACCTTACTAATACCGGAAGTAGCAGATTCTGGTTCGAACTCCGATGGAATAATATATTTCCGACAAAAGTGTCGCGAGACAACTCTAAATAATTGAAATTTAAAGGGAGAGACCGGCAATGTATGGTAGTTGAACTGAGAATGTAGTATTGTGGGAGAAATTTTTAAGGATTCATTTGAGGCATATAAACCGTTTTAATGATGTATCAATTTAAACAATCTAGGAAATTTACTGAAAATGTTTGTGATCAATGAAACATTACAGAAACCAATAACTGAATAAGATTACTTATTTTCGATGATAAAACTTAATTTTTATTTTCTCAACCTTTTCCTAATCAGCTAATTAGTTTACTATAGAATTTTTACAACATTTTTCGTCGTCTTCAAAATCATTCCTCAAAAATGCACATCTATGAGCATTTTAAATATTGAATTTGCGATCTTGTCGAAAAAATATACACCGACTCCCTTTAAAAGAAATCTAAATTCGAGAAATAATACAATCCATGAAGCAGTGAAGAGTAGAAGTAATAAGAGGGAGCAAGGATTTGTTTTAATTTTCAAGGATTATTGTTTACTAAATGTAGTTTGTTTACATAAAAATCCAGCTCAAGAGCTGTCCAAATACAGGGTGTCCCAAAAAACATGGGAATTCAGTGACGAATTCGAGATCGTCTTTTCAAATAATTCTTTGATTTAGTATAGTGATACCTACTGAGAAAGCTGTAATCTGTAAGAGTTTCGTCTTCTATGTTTACATTTTGTTTGTTTATGTTTTGACTGCAACCGGTTGTACTCAGTAAAACAAGAAAATTGCAGTATACAAACAGAGTAAACTTGTCCGTATTCACTGTTCATCTTGCGGAGACATTATAGACACATCATTGCAGTCTTTTACCCTTTTCATTAAATAAACTCTAGCAGACATAATAATATTACGGCTTTTGAAATTAGGTATTACAATGCTAATTCATAACAAAGACGATATCGAATTCGTCACTGAATTCCCATGTTTTTTGGGACACCCTGTACATCATAGAAGAATGAAAAACACTCCTATTTTGCTCAGAGGCATAAATCAGAGGGCTCACCCCCCCTGGCTCAGTATCTATGATACATCTATAGGTTCCATGGGGATTTTTAGGCACCAACGGGTGCTGAGCCCCCCCCCAGGACTAATTCCTGAGTTTGCCCCTGGTTTTGCTTACCCATGTGCGTCCTCCTTTTCTTCATGTTTACCTTCAACCTCAAGAACCTGTTCTACAGTCCTGCAGTACATTACATTTGTATGTACAGGGTTACCCACAATAAATGAGAATTTAGAGACGAATGTGGAGAAGTTATTCAGCCTCTTTCTTAAATTCTAGATCCCTACATGCAATACAGTAATCTGCACTGGTTTCCTGATTGCGAATTCATTAAGAAGGTATTCATAATCTCGAGAGCTATATTCAAGGCAAAAACTAAATTCAACCTTCCTGATATCAAGTGTTTTAGGTCGTCATTAAAGTCTCATCCTTTTTTGGAAACACAGTAAAAATGGAGTAAAAAAGCCAAACTAGATCACTGTGATCTTGCCAGTCTATATTTCTTGCATAAAACGTGCTGGGTCTACACTGGGTACCACTGAATGCATATACAGTACGTGTTGTACCGGCACGGATCTTGCAACTTTTGAGACTTGGGTGAGATAAGGAATTTTAAAACAGAAGAACATAAAGATATCCTAAAGAAACATGGTTGGTTCCACTTGAAACTGTATTCAGTGTTTCGAGATTTGAGCCGGCGCTCAATTGGATTTTAGAACCGGTTTAAATTATTTAAATTCAGCCTCTGAAGGGATAAACACTTAATACTTTGGTGCAGGATGTCACAAGAAAAAAATTTACTAAATAACCTGACACTTAGTTCTGCTGGGGAAAAGTGTTGAACATCAAGGAGAACATGCCACTTTCCACCCTCACCCTGATAATAATAATAGTAATAATAATAATAATATTAATACTATTAATAATAATAATAATAATAATAATAATAAAACTCTTCAGTTTAAGATTTGAAAAGTGTGATACCTCTGAGTTCTATAGGGGGGGGGGGGCTACCCTCCCCTTCCCCTTTCATTGGTCAAAGGGGAGGCACTGTCCCCCGTTCCTTCCCCCTGTATACGCCCTTTACCCTCCTTCACTTTTCAAAGAATAGATAAAACACATTTCCGAGGTTAGGTTAAGTTAAGATAGATAGATAAAGATTCCTAAGTGAGTTACATTCCGTTGTAAATAGCTAGTTTTTGGTATATAAAAATTTTCATTAAAACTTGCTAATATAAAGTTTTATATGTGCCGGTCATCGTTCATGCTTTGAAAAATTAGTAAATGATAGAGTAAATGATATATTTTTTATGAACATGGAGAATTTGACATCTCTTTTTAATTATTTTTAAATTTTTGTGCACTGAACTACACTTGCTACTATAATAAAAATCATTAAAGTAATGATTCAACGTTTAAATAATTGTATTTATATTTTCTAAAATTAGTTTAATATTTTCCAGCAAGTTTATCTTTCATCCAGATTTAGTGATTTTTAACTTCATAAACTTTAAACTTTATGTTTCTACCTGTATGATGCAGGTACAATGTCGTCTTCGTGAATTCCCATTCCAAAATTCTGATCAAACAGTCGTACTGGTCTTTCAAACTCAAGATCTTAAATTAAAAGCCAATCAAACTCAGATTTAAGTTTTTATAGATGTTATGACAATGTCAAGATAATTAATAGAAAGAGACGGTCCCTTTGATGTATTGTCCCGATTTGCCATGTCTATATGCTTAAAGGGACCGTTCACTTTTTTAATCTCGATATTTTCTTTCGATATTTTGTTAATCTGCAGACTCATTTAATCTTTATTCGATATCCGGCAGTGTAATTTAACCTGAAATTAAAAGATTAAACATTGATCCTAAAATTAAAAGTGTCCGTGGTGTGTATCGAGATGAGGCGATCTGGATTATGAGAATCCAACACATAGTTCTCAGTTTTACATGTAGACTGTATAACCATAGATAATAAATAAACATAGATAGCTTATGTACGCAAAATTACCAAGAATTGTACAGTCCGCGAACTCATACTTCTAGTAGTCAAAGTGTACTTCAATGATAAGCGGGGTGTTTTAATGGATTTCATAATAGAGTGTAAAATAACTCCGGGAATGTAACTATTTGAACAACAATATTTCACTGAGCAATATATCATATTGACGAGAACTGAAGAAGGACATGAGAAGGACTAAACTAACTTAAATTTCTCTCTACTGAACTCATGTACACCACAAGTACTCAATGACATAAGAACAGCCAATGTTCACAACCGACCTAGTTAATCTATATAATAGGAATATCTTTGAAACATCTCTGTACATTTATATCTTTCAAGATGAAAAATGTCGTCTTATGCGCAATCTATCTTTATCTATTGTATAACTGCTATGTCAGAGCTGCCTAGAAGTCGGTACGGTACTTCAAATAAATCGGAGTTTCCAGTGATGTAAATCTTACCAGGCTACATTTGTTGCAGAAAACATGCTGTGTCGACTATAACCTGTGTAGTCTGACTGGACAGTACGACTGAATGCATATTCTGCAGGTACGTGTTGTACCGGCATGGATCATGCCACTTTTAGACTGTAATGTACATTGTACAAGCTTACCCAGATCTCTGTCGAATATAGAATCTCTGTGTATGGGGATGGAAGTCCACCGCGGCATTTTTCTTTCAATATTTTTTAATTAAAGGGACTGTAGGCGTAATTTCAAGTAACTTTCCAAGCAAAAATGGCAAAGCCCGATTCACTTCGGTACCCTTTAAAGCTTTTCCAATTAAGTATGAATAAGATTCATAAGATAGTAATGTTTATAATTTTTAACTGTGATTTCTCAGCAATGACTTGCAAAATTTCTACTGCAGTAAAAAATATATGAATTATCAGAATCAAACACTTGACTTAAACCTAGAAAAACGATAATATCTTTACATTATTAGTCAGATAAAGGTTTCAAGGATACCGTTGTGAATCGGACATTACCATCGTTGCATGGAGGGTCATCTAAAATAAGCTTACAAACACAGTTTCTTAAAATGATTATAATGTTGTTTTTGACTGTTTTTGTTGAAAAGAGCCAACTAGTTTATATTTCATGTGACCCCTGCTGTAAAATTCACAGAATTACCATATAAAGCGAATTTTTTTTATATTTTGCCATTTGGAAAACGACAAACCTCGGCCATCACAAATATATGGCAGGGGAAATTGTCAAAGAAAAAGAAAAAGAAATGTAAACTATTAAACATACATTTTTAACTTTTTCTCTGACTCTTTCAGTGAATACTTTTTAATGAAAAAGTATAAATAATGAAAAAAATGTAGGTTTTGTCACTCAACGGTGATGTAGGGTCACTTAAATTACGTCAGCAGTCCCTTTAAAAGAGTTTTCCTACCCTACCCTACCCTACCCTACCCTAAGATATTTTCATCTTAATGATCCAACTAAGATTTAGTTTTGCAATACTTTTCGAAACTTTCCAGAATTAGCTTAGGAATATTACAGAATAAATTTCAAATTATCTATGATCGTAAAAACAAAGACTTATTAAAGAATAATAAACAAATAAATTTAAAAAATTCGGTTTTTGTTTAAATATAATTGTAGGTCAACCTAAATCGATAGTTTATTAAACTCGCTTTATTTAAAACTTGAAAAATCAAAAGTAGTTTTTGTTTCAATAATTACACATTTTTACGTAATAATGCAATTACATATTACATATAATTGGCAATTGCAGAATATGGTTGTTCAATACATTGAGAATTAAAGTTGTAAAAATGTGTTAATTGTGAAAATTGTTATAGCATCTTGCTACACAAATCAAAATATTTCAGAAAAATCAAAATTATAAGTTGTGTTCAGAAAAAAGAAGCATTCATGCTTTTTGAGAAATAACAATAATTTTTTTATTCTCGACTTTTCTGCATGGACATTGTTTTGATTGAAGGGAATATTACTGAGAAAAGGTTAAATGTATAATATGTATTATTTAGTTTAGAAATCAGAGGATTCTAACTAAAATACACTTTCCTGTAGAGACGGGCATTGTTTATTTGTGAACGAAAGGAATTTTTTAGTGAACAATCACGAATTCAGAAAGGAGGAAAAGATAGATATTTTTGAGCTTACTGTCCCATTGGAAACAAATATCAAAAATGCCAATACTCAAAAGATGAACCAGTATGAACATTGTATCACAGATGTAATATCTGGGGATATGTCTGTTCACCCTTTTGAAATCGGCTCAAGAGGAGATATGAATCTAAAGAAACTGCATAAGTTCTGCAAACCCAGTGTAAGTTTCAAAGCAATGTGCGAAAATCTATAAAGCTTTGCAGTGCTGTCATCATACCACATTTTTAGAAAACGAAAAACTCTAGACTGGGACCAATAAAAAGTCTTGTATTGCACCAGTTTTGTGGCAAACCCTGTCAATCATAAAATGCAATATCCAGAGAAAAGAGTTTAAGTATTAAATAGTAAACTTTTATATTGTTTAATGTAATTTTGCTTTAGACAAATATAAATCGATGAATATATATACATATTCAGATTAAACCGTCAAACAAAGACGACTGTTTAAACACTTGAGAATATTCAGCGGCAAAGTTTGTTTTGAGGCGCTAATTAAACAAGGGGAAAGAGCGATAGGAAATTATAAATATGATTGTGCAGTGTGCCATTGAATAAATTTAACAAAGCAACCTGAATATGAGATGATTATTACTCAAATCTATTTTTGGTTCAAAAATGCACTGTAAAGTAACATATATAAAAGTAAATGATACTTGGATCACACAATAGATTTAAAGTGAAACATCCACGCAACTGCAAATATATTTTTAACGTGGCTCAGTCTTAGAAAAAAGATGTTGCCCCCCCCACTCCCTGCTCTTCCTAAAAAGATTTACATGAAGTTAGTATTTATTAAGATCTGGGGTGTGTTAGGTTAAGACAATTTCTTGGTCTAGCACTGCGGCTAGGACAGGCTAGGAGGCCGAGCACCAGGGCTAGAACAGGCTATAAGGGCCAGGTGGGGGAGGAGGTGTCTCTAGATAATTACAGTAAACTTTTGGGTAAATTCTTAGAGAACAAATTTGGGTAATTTCCTGGAGAACGATTTTTGGGCCCCCCCCCCCCCCGGTTAAAATTCTTTAAATTCAGCCTCTGAAAGGATAAACAATTCAAAAGTTCTTGCCTCTGATTGGATAACAACTTAAAACTTTGGTGCAGGATGTCACAAGAAAAAAATTTACTAAATAACCTGACACTTAGTTCTGCTGGGAAAAAGTGTTGAACATCAATAATCAATAATGCCACTTTCCACCCTCACCCTGCTAATAATAATAATTATAATATTAATACTATTAATAATAATAATAATACTACTATTAATTATAATAATGATAATAATAATATCAATACTATTAATAATAATAATAATAATAATAATAATAATTTTTTACTTTCATTTCTGCAACCTCGCTGTGCTGACGACTGTACAATCGTCTTCCTTGAGTGTAGTACGGAGTAAATACCCTTACTCCATAACAATTTACTCGAGACATATCTATCCAGGTCTATCTTCAGAACAGGCTCTTTACTCTAACCCACCCGGATAAAGTGCCACACAGGCAACTTCAAATGCCACATTGTCCTTTTATGTACCTTTTAAATATATCTTAAAGATTAGAAAAATAGAGTTTGAGACAAGTCAACAGTTCCTTTCCACGTTCGCTGACATTGCTAGCTCTAGATTTTATGCTACCTGTGGATATTGATATCAATGCTTGATATTGATCTTTTGCTAATTTGCAGAATAAATTTTTTTTTTTAGAGATTTTTTGTCCCCAGGACATGATCGGGTTGTTACGATCAAATCTCGGATTTTTTTCTATTGCGAAAGTTTGGTTTTGTCTGGGTTTTTATATTGATTTACCAGGGGTTGTAATCTGGTAGCACATTCATCCATCCACTCTTCATTCATCCTAAGAAGAGGGTTGACAAGATTCCAGCTGCCTAAGATTCTTCTTAGGCCTGAGAATATAGAGTGCAGGAATCCTTCTGAAATACTGGAATGAGGCCCGGGTGCCATACTGATAGGAAACATCACACGCATTGCTCCCTAATATCTGTAAGCCCGGATTGGATACCCCGAGGTACCTATAGCTGGCAACCATGGACTCTCCCTGCTTGTCCACCATTCCTTTCTTCATCATCATTCACTTGGATCAATCCCACTTGAAGCATCTTTCTTGTTGAGTAGAAAGCACGCACCCTTTCGCTGTGAGAGTTGTTGACAGCCGCCTCTCTGTCCTCCTACATCATTCAGGTGGTCATAACTGCTTAACCAGTCGGCTTCAGATGTTTTTGAAACCG